GAACTATGGATTCTAATAATTTTACGTAAATGCATTTTGGTTTTAAACCCATTTCTGAGCCCATAAGTTTTCTATTTCCCAACTTTTCTGGAGCTGGCGCACACGAGCGAGTTTTTGATTCCCTGCTGTGTGTCTTAAGAGGGGGACCACAGAGCTTCCATGCAGCTCAAGGTCTCTCCAGAGCAAAAGGAAATACACCAAAGAAGAGGGCAGGTCATGGTAAGAAAGAGACAAGAGGGGATGGAGCACACTGCACGCATCTGCTCTGTCTCTATCTGTCTCTCTCCAAGATAGGTGCTATTATTATGCTCTTTTATATATACGAATATGCGCGTGCGTGCACACACACACACGCACACATATATGGCATAATAATAATAGCATCTACCTTGTAGGGTTGTTGAGAAGTTGAGACAATGTATGTAAAACACTTTCCAAACCTTAAAATGCTATGTAAATGTAAGCTATCATTATTTACTGTTAATATTATGAGCTAAAACATTTCCCAAGATAGTTCCTGAATCTGCAAGGAGGAAGGGACTCAGGCTCATTGGGCCCAAGAACAGAAATCCAGCCTGCTCTATCTCATCCATGCCATCCTCGGAGTGTGCACATGAATCACTGCGTCCATATATTAGCCAACAGCTGACGAATCAAAACTTCTCTCTTGTACAATCTGACAAATTTCTACAACTTGTCTGGCTAAGATAGACCCATTGATTAGCATGGTGCAGTGGAAGGAGTGCTAGCCTGGAAGAGTGCTCGGATTCGAATCCCGGCACTGTCACTTACCCGCCGTGTGACTGGTGTGACCAGGGAGGAAAAGGAGGTGGAGAAGAGGCAACAAGAAGATACTGGAAAGAACTCTGGCTCTGGAGTCAGAGGACCTGGGTTCGAATCCCACCTCCCATGCTTTTTCCTCATGTGACCTTGGGCAAGTCACAACTTCTTTCTCTGGGGAAAGGGTTGGATTAGATGGCTTCTGAGGTCTTTCTCAGCTCTATGTCTATCATCCACTGACTTGGGCTCAGAAAGAAGGAAACTGCATAGGAATTTGAGAGAGGTATGGACTAGTAAAGATGACCAGAGACTGAACTGAGAAAGGATAAATTTGGGAGAAAGCGAGGAATAGTTGAAGAACACTCTCCAGGCCCAAATGCTGTTTCAAATTCAGTTCCTTAGCTTCTTTGAGGAAAAGCTGCAGGAGACGGAACCGGATGAAGGAGAATGGACCGAAAAAGCGAGATTCGGAAAGGAAAAGGAGAAGGCAGTTGGCAAGACAAATCCAAGTAAGTAAGAAAAGGCCAGCAGAACAGCTGGAGGGTAGAAGCAGGCAGGCAGTGGACTGGGGAGTGCAGCTAACTGGTGAATCAGAGAGGAGGCTGGCGTGAGGAAGAGCAGTAAGAGGGAAGTAACTGGAGAGTTGTTGAGAGGAAAGAAAACAAGGCTTCTGAATCCGGGGGTCACAAACTTGGGTTTTTTAAATATTTTTTATAACTCGTATCTCAATAGCATTGGTTTCCTTTGTAATCCTATATATTTTATGCATTTAAAAACACCATTCTGAGAAGGGTCCATAGGCTTCATTAGGCTGATGAAAGGGTCCAAAGTTAAGAACCCTTTAAAGAAAACTGGGTTGGGTCCTCAAGTTATTAGAAGGTAATAATTGGCTGTTAAAAAAGAGTTTTAACATACATAAGGTTAAAGTGCAAACACCCAAAAGTCATTCCAAAAAAGGAAAGCTGAAAATCTCAACCAGTATGGAAGGCAGGGGAGATTTTGTGGTGCCTTGCGCCGTGCTGTGTTTCTCTTTCTGCCACAGCTCAGGGATGATCTGGGTAGGCTGCTCTCCCTCCTAGAGGAGAATGCCTGCCCCTCCACATTCCGGGTTGTGAGGGGCAGCCCGGGCTTCCTGGAGCAAACGCAAGACCTGACACTCGTCTAGCCAGAGGGTGGTTTGTGGAAGAGGGTGACACAGAGGAGAAAGAGAAGGAAAAGGCCACCCACACACTAAAAGCTTAAAACACTCCCCCTCCCCAGATTTAAGTCACTTCCTGAAGAAGAACGAGACGAATGCTCTGAGGAGAAAGCAGCTGCTGGCCATCCCAAGAAGGATCCAGTGCAGCTGAGGAGCCATCAGGTGAAAGGTCACCTAGTGAGCAGTGATGGCTGGTGCGCCTCAGCTTAGGACCACTGAGGCAGCTCTCAGGCTACCAGACAACAAGGAGGGGGGGGTTTCTTCCCGAGGCATACATGCAAGATATAGCTAAGAATCTCCTAAGACTTCTCAAAGCAGACGACTACTTCTCACTTCTGGTGTTTTATAAGGGCACAAATAATAGTGCCAGAGGGAACCTGTAAATCATTGCCGAAGATTACCAGGCCTTGGGCAAAGCCACTAAAAACCACGCAGGTACACGTTGTTTTTCTCACTGTTACTCACTAAAGAGAAAAGAGAAACATTGACATGGGAAGTGAATGGAGGGCTCGTGAAGGTACCGTCCGATACCAGAATTTGGATTTCTGGACCTTAGATAAAACAGAAGGACGACAGATTCCTGGTCAGTGATGAGGTACATCTGACAAAGGCTGGTAAGAATGCTGGAGGCCTGGTGAATCTAACAAAAGGGCTTTAAACTAAACAGGATGGGGGCCAGGGAAGACGGCCTATGGATAAACCAGATGGCCTAAATACCACAGAGCACAGGACAATGACGGAACCACAAGAGCAGCAGAGAGACTCGGAACTTCATGGGAGACAAAACCCAAATCAGACGGCTGGCCTCAAAGGCAGATATACAAACGCCCCAAATCAGGCCAGAACCAGGAGGAACCAGAGATCTCCACAGGAGGCAAATTCGACCTCAGCATCCACTGCGTACATAAGAGGATGCGGGCTAACAGAGCAGGACGGACTCTAGTTTGGATTTTCTGAGTATTCTCATGTTCCCTAAAAGGGTGCACGGCATATAGGATGACTCTTATGATTATTTCATGACTAATCATGGAAGAACTGAAGTGTGGGAGAACGTATGGGTGAAAGCTTAGGCAAAGCAGCGTAAAGAGCAGAACAAAAACCAGATACGCCACATGTGGGAGGGAAGAGTAGGGAGGTGGGGGGGGGGAAGCCAACGCAATCACTCGTCCTGAAGAAATGAAACTATAAGGGCAGCATATAAGCTCCGTCCTTTTTAGAATACAAAGTTACCCGGGAACAATTTAATTTGATAATCTAAGAAAGGATGAAAAAAATCCTCCACAGCCTTACTAAAATTGAAAGCGGGAACAACTGACCTATACACTAGTCACACAGCCCTTTTCAAAGGAAATGAGCATTTTTAAAACTTGGAGAGTGATTTCATAAGCACATGTACATGAATCTCCGAGGCATAAGAGTCATCAATCAGAAGTTAACCTAAGACTTGTTGATTCAGAATGTTGGATTCTCTTCAGGAATGCAAATCCTAGTTTTTCTGGTTATAGAATAAAGATGATGATGATGATGACAGCTACCATTTAGATGGCACTTTAAGGTTGGCAAAGCACTTTACATATGCTATCTCACTGGATCTTCACAACAACCTTGCGGTTCTCAGGTGCTACTATTATCTCCATTTTACAGAGAAGAAAACTGAGGCCCAGAGAAGTTAAGGGTTAACCAAGGGCCATTTTCTGCTAGAAAGTATCTGAGGCAGAATTCAAACCTAGTCTTCTTGATGCAAAGTGTAGTGCTCTATCCATTATACCCTGTGTTGTTAAGGAGGAAAAAACTTTGTAAACTCTAATTATAATAACTACGAGATGGAATGTGAGACTAGTCTCTGACATCAGACCTAATTTAGAAGCTAGAGTTTAATTTCTCATTTCTGAAGTTCTGGGGCAGCAGATCAAGTGAAAGCATAGTCAAGGAAAGACAGATGTGCAGCTGGGTGTCTGCCCCCTTGTACCTCCCTGAATCTACCACGGCCAGTGAAGAAGGAAAAGTGACAGGTCCTCTTTTTCCCTACTAAAGTCCATCAACCTCTAACCCTCACTTAAAGAAACTCTCTTTATGTCAAGATCTACCAAGTATTTCTTTCATTGTTTCTAAAAAAGATTCTTAACGCCATCCCGTGAATCAGAGAGTCGTAGCCAACAGAGGTGACACATACATGGAGCTGTGTATGAGACTACAGTGGGTGGCAAGGGCGGAGGAGATAAAAAAGCAAACATAATTTTGCTTTCTGACACACCTCCCTCAAATCATTTTCTATTTATTGAGTCCTTTAACAATGCACACCTTAAAAAAAAAACCACAAAAAGCCCCCTTTGGCTTCCTACGTTAACCAGAAGGTGCTATTAATGCAATCAGCTTTTGTACTGTGGATGAAAATCTGAGGTGGGCATTCATGACAAAGTCACTTAAAAACTTCACAAGGTTTTCATTTAAGGTAGGAAAAATGGAATAATAGATAAAAAGACCTAGTTATTTCCTAGCATACGCAACTCCAAAAGATGAAATCATGGGTCAGCAACCATGCATCAGCCTTATTTCCACAGCAAGACTGAATAGGCCCCACGGTGCCTGTGGAAAATCCACTGGAGAAAAGAAAAAAGCAGGCAAGAGAAAGGAAAGGCAAGAGGGAGTGGCAGTATCACCAGCAACGACCGCCTGGTGGCACGGCACCAACTGCGTCAGCGCTCTGAGGTACTGGTCAGGCCCCTCCACCTCTGTGAAACCCTCAGGCAAAAGCATTCTCTAACCCCTCAAATTTTCTGAATCTCTTCCTTACTCTTATTCCCATAGCCCTTACTATGTATACAAGTACACGCTACACAGACCCTCAAGAGATTATAGAGCGACCACAGAGCTTTTTGTCTCTGAATCTCTAGCATTTAGCTCCATTCTTTACACAAAAGTGGTGCTTAGTAAATAAATGGTTATCGAATTGCATTAACCTGAGTAATTGACTAAAAACCTTAGAAATCTCCCCTCTCGGCAGAATGAATAGTTTACTTACGTGATTGTCACTTTCATTGTCCTTGATAACCAGATACCTCAGTAAATTTAATGAAGCCATAATCCTGGAAAATTAAAATATGCAATCAACAGCAATTTCAACAAACAAACTAGATGAAATTTCTACATTATACATTTAACAATTGCATAATAATTAGCAATTATACCATTCAAAAGACATTTAGGCTAGGAATAGCCTACTTCTTATTTTCTTTATATAACTTCATCAAACAAAGTTGTGTTATTTTGTCAGTCTTTTCAGACATTAGAACGTCATCTCTTGTTTCCCAAATTTTAAAAATTGTTTTATCGACACTATCCTTGTTCCAAAGGGACACCTAATCTTTTGATAAGCTGTAATCGAAGATACCCTAAATCAGGAGCCAGTGGCTAAAAGAAGCTGAAGGCCCCGTGCTTTGGGAAACCTGGTGCGGTTTTTTGACACGTGTGTTCTTCCTACATAAAAATATGTACACACATACATATATTTTCTTTACATCTGATGAATTCCAAGACAAAATACCAGTGTAGCTGACTTAATAGACAAATTCACTTCTCATCTCTGTGAGCACAAGAAAACAGACGGAGGAACCATTCATACTCTCTACTCGATTTGTTGTTCCCGTGTCAAAGTAGGTTTTAAGCCATCTTTTGAAGTGTGTCTGAAGCAGCAGATGTGCTCTGGCAGAATGAGCACAGAATGGCCTTGGAACCAGGAAGGCTCAGGTTCAGGTCGTCCCTGGGGTCCCTCCTGGTTGTGTAACCCTCCAGGCAACCCACTCAGACTCTAAACTTCAGAGAAGGGACTGATCCATACCAATAAGAGTCCTTTCATTCTATTAGAGGAGTCACAGGCCCAGGGCCTCTGCAGCCCTCCTTCTCCCCCTCTCTGCTGAGAGTCTCTCCTCTTATTCCCCCCCCTCAAATTAGAGTCCATACACTAGAGCTCCGTCTTCTCTTTTCCTCCTCATCTCATCCTCCACCTTCTTGCCAAGGCAGTCTCCTCAACATGCACCCTGGGTCTCATCCCCTCCTGTCTTTTTCAGCATCCTCATCTCTCCCTATGACCTGGCTCCTTTTCTGTTGCCTACACACATGCCTGTGTCTCTGCCATCCTTGAAAAACCCTCACCTGACACTAGCATCTGCGCCACTCTCCTCGTTCTGTCTCTCCTTCCACTCTTAGCTAAACTTCTGGAGAAAGCCTTCCATATTGAGTCCCTCCGCTTCCTCTCCTGTCTTCCACGACCTCTGCAATCTGGCTTCCAACTCATCATTCAAGCAAAACTGCTCTCTCCAAGGTCAACGATGATTTCTTGACAAATCTAACAGGCTTTTCCCAATCCTCATCTTTCTTGACCTTTCTATAGCCTTTGACACTGGTGATCACCCTCCTCTTTTGTTTTTTTTGTGACAGTTTTCTCCTGGTTCTCCTTCTACATGTCCAACTGCTCCTTCTCAGTATTCTTTGCTGGATCTTCATCCAGGCCATGTCCACTAACCATGGGTGTCTCCCAAGAGTCTGTCCTGACCCCTCTTCTCTGCTCTATACTATCTCACTTGATGACCCCATCATCTACCATGGATTCAATGATCATCCCTATGTACATGATTCCCAGATCTATTTATCTGGCTCTATTCTCTCTTTTGAGCTACAGTCTCTCATCACCAACTGCCCTTTGGCCACGGTGTGGGCACCTCTGATACAACATATTCAAACAACTAATTATCTTTCCCCTCAGACTCTCCCCTCTTCCTAAGTTTCTTATTAGTGTTGAGGACCCCAACATTATCTCAGTTACCTAGGTTTACAATGTAGATGTCACCTTCCACTCCTCACTCATGCCCACCCTACATATCTAATACATTTTCAAGCCTTGTTGTTTCTAACTTCATGTCTCTCATGCAAGTCTCTCTTTTTCTCTCTCTCTCCTCACACAGCCAGACAGCTGGTGCAGGCCCTCACCCTTTCACATCTGGACTACTGCAATACCCTTCTGGTTGGTTTCCCTGCCTCAAGTCTCTCCCCACTGCAGCCCATCCTCCACTCAGCTCTCAAATTGATCTTCCTAAAGCACAGATCTGACCACGTCATCCCGCTGGTCACTCTAGTGGCTCCCTATCACCTCCAGGATCAAAGACAACATTCTCTGTTTGGCCTCTAAAGTCCTTCCTCCCTTTCTAGGCTTCTTGCTCCTAAGTCCCCTCTATGCACTCTCTTTGCCAGTGACACCAACCTCCCTGCCGTTCTTGGCCCTCGGCACCATCTTCTGACTCTGAGCCTTCTAACTGGTCATCCCTCACGCTTAGAATGTTGTCTCTCTTCATCTCTAGCTCTTGCTTCTCCTTACACTTACATTCCATATAACGTGTATGTACATAGTTATTTGTATATATATATAGTATGTACATAGTTCTCTCTCTCATTAGATGGTGAGTTCCTTGAGGGCAGGAACTGCTTTTGCCTTTCTTTGTATTCACGGCACAACTCCTGGAAGGTAGCAGTAAGTCCTTAAGAAATGCTGTTTGACTGACTATTACCTCTATCTCACTGAGGGTAACACATATTACTAATTTACTTTGTAAAATACCAACACACTTCATTTCGAGGGTACAAAATAAATGAAATGAGTTGTTAGTTTCCTTTCTATCTCCTTTGATAGTGAGTGTTAATAGTGCCTGATGGCAGAAGGATGTACCAAGTGGTTTCTAAAGATCCATTCCTTGTTTTGACCTTTTTTTCATTTTAGGTTCTCTTGTAAACCTTTCCTCTCCAACCTTTAAATCCTTAGGATCAATTCAATTAGAAAGATATGAACAAACGAAATAGGGTAGCAAAGATTATATAGTAAATCATAAGGATGGGTATCCTGCCAATAAGATATCCTCACTAATTTTACATTTTGTGCTCCTGTTGGGGCTCTGGCCAATAATCTCTATAACACTAAATGTGCCATAGGAAAAAAAAAAAACATGTAAAGCTCAGTGGGGGGGGAAGGAATACACTCTCCCAAGAGTTTCTGATTAAAGACAAGAGCAGGCGTGGGGAACCTGTGGCCCTAAAGCCACATGTGGCCTTATTTGTTCTGTAAAATTTGGACTCAGTCAAAAGGCCGCACCAAGATTTAGAAGGCCACGTGTCCTTAAGGCCACAGGTTCCTTCCCCTGGTCTAGAGCCAAACACATACCTGGTCTACATATGGAGCCTCATGTGCAGTCACAAGCACAGATGAGTGGTTAGGCCATATAAGGTGCAGAGGAAATTGCACATGTCATAGAAGAAGCATAAAAGCACAGTTCCTTCTTATAGGAACAATATTATTTCAGATTATTCTTAAAATATAAATTGGTAAAAGCAACATGTTTTAATCAGAAAGCTAAGAAAAATCTCGGTAGAATTCAACCAAGCAAGCCGCAAGCCCCAAGCCACAGGAAGCAAGCTTTACTGGACTCTGTTCCCTAAATCTGGAATTTACTTTTTCATCTTAAGCTACTCCGTGTTTGAATTCCTGATCTGGGTCACTCACCTATCGGAATTCTGGAGCAGGTCTGTCTCTGCTCCTTCAGGAAGCGTGAGCACCAAGTCAAGAAGTGAGATCAGCTGGGGTCCTGTAAACCACTTCCTGTCCTCTGTTCTCTACAAAGCAACAGAAAAATGGGGACTGGACAAAGAATTTAAGTAAAACCTTCAAACTTTGTTTTTTTCTATACATCACTCAACACTCTAAAAACAAGTAGTTTACAAGGATACCTCTGCTTTGAGTAAACATGAAAAGTCAGGTTTACAAAAATATTTCTTTATTAAGTTCCCCAGTATGATCAAATTTATGAAAATTCAATTTATTCACAATTTCCCAGTGACTTGTCTACTGCAGTGAGGAAAAACAGCATAAACAATTCGGGAAGAAGACCAGAATTACTGCTAGACAATGATTTTGTTTCTCTCCCTAACCCTAATGCCACCCATCGCCGGCATTACACAGTGCTAGCGAGCAGATTGTTTCTTTAAAGAAATAATATATTTTCATCCACGACACTTCTTCTGGACTACAATTGCTAGCCCCCTCCCCCAGGAAGAGGGAGCCCTGTTGGTTCAGGGTATGAGGAACAAATGAGCCGACTTAAGTAAAGCACTTTGCAAACCTCACAGCACTACGTAGAGACTATTATCATAATCATCACCATTATCAAACAGAATTATAGCAGATGGATTCCTGGAAGCTTTTGTTAAATACAAAAATACGTGACACAGACAAGGTTCAGTGCTGGCAATTTTGAAGCCCCCATGCCATGTGAACAGCAGATAAAGGTTAAATCTCTAAGTGGGGTGGACCCACTGGGATAAGAAGGGTCTGGATGGGTGGCAATCTGCACCAAGGGAGGGAGGGAGCACTTCTTCTCTGAGGTCACAGAAGGCAGAAGAACAAGATACTTTCCAAATCCATGAAGGCTCCTTTATTTTTTTAAAATCATAGGCAAAGCTCGTAATCAAGATAAAAAACAACCTATTAAGCTAGAAAAAATAAGCAGGGCCCAAACTCTGTCTACTGTGATTTTTGCACATTAGCCACACCACCTGCAAAGTAAACTAAGCTGATGCCAAAGACGCTTTTGCTCGGCTGTGCTCTTACCTTTAATGAGGCATCCACTTGATTTTTAATATTTTGAATGACATAGCCTTCCACACCTGCATGGTTACTTGTCTTCAACAAACACCTTGAAAACAAAATCAAGACATGTGATATGTGGTCCTAGAATTTCTCCTGATTAGCTGATGATCGATATTTAACACATGCCCAGAGCTTTGTTTTTAGGAATAAGAAATCCCAAGTGATCTTGAAGAGCCACAGTCATTAATCAGTTAAATGGCTAATTAATCAGTTAATTAAAGTTAATCCTGCACCTGACAAGGTGAGCTGACATTTGGCCACACACCAAAACTCTGTATTAAACTGGAACCTGCTTGTCTTACTATGCCAAGGAGGAGGGTCCTGCAGCAGGGCCACAAACACCCACAAGCCCCAGGTCCCGAGCAAAGGAGACCTCAGCTTCAAACATCCATCCTACCCCGCCTCCTTGAGACGCCCCACAGCAGAAAGTAAAAATAATGCTTCAAACTCCCGTGTTTACCAAGTGCTAAGTCTTTAACGCTTTTAGGTAACACATTCTGATAGTATTTACCTATTTCATTAGAATAACAGCTTACATTTATGTAGTGATTTGTGGACACCAAGTACTTTGTACAGACATTCTCTCATTCGGGAGGCGGGATAGAATAGTGGCGAGTGCCCTGGAGTTGGGGTCAGGAAGCCGTGGGTTCAAATCCCACTTCTAATTCTTGCCTGACTATAGATCAATCACTTTAACCTCTCACCCCCAGTTTCTTCATCATTTAAATGGGGATGAATAAGGCCCAGAGTCCTAAGTTGTCAGTAGGCTTTTGTGAGACCCAAATGAGCCAACGTGTGTAAAATCCTCTGTGGGTGTGACTGTGCTAGATAAACCCCAGCTGTCAGTACTGACGCCTGGGGTCCAAGACTTTTGAAGGGGGTCTGTGGGTCAACACTGTTTTCATAATAACACTAAAACATGACTTGCCAATTAAAATTCTCTTCCCATTTCCAACTACCTATCTGTGTGAGGCTAGATTTGCTTCACTGAGGCACAAGGAGGGTACCACAGTACCAAGAGTGCTGGGACTGGAGTCAGCGAGGCCTGAGTTCAAATCTGACCTCAGACACTTTCTGGCTGCGCAATGCTGGGCAAGACCTCTGCCTGCCTCAGTTTTCTCACTTGTAAAATGAGGATCATAACAGCACCAACCTGACAGGGTTGTGTGAGGACCAAATGAGATAATATTTGCAAAGCACTTAGCACAGTGTCCAGCCCACAGTAGGTGCTCTATAAATGCTCCTCCCCTTTCCTTCTCCTTCCCTCTATATACTTCAACCAAAACATCACAAAAAACTGAAGGCAGAAGTAGATTTGAGAATTCAACTGTCTTCTATTAAGCCAGATGGTAAATAAATTAGCAAAAGTATGTAAAACACAGATTGCATGCCATCTTGGGGAAGGGAAGGATAGAGGGAGGAAAAAATTTGGAACTCAAAATCTTATAAAAGTGAATGTTGAAAACTATCTTTATGTGTAATTGGAAAAAATAAAATACAATTAAGTGGAAAAAATACGTAAAACAACTTAGGACTCTGGGCCTTATTCATCCCCATTTAAACGATGAATAAACTGGGGTGAGAGGTTAAAGTGATTGATCTATAGTTAGTTTATATGAACATGTGTAATTGGCTTATTAGTGTTATTTTTTTTTTTTTGCTTTTTGGTGAGGCAATCAGGGTTAAGTGACTTGCCCAGGGTCACACAGCTAGTAAGTGTCAAGTGTTTGAGGTCACATTTGAATTCAGGTCCTCCTGCCTCCATGGCCCGAGCTCTATTCACTGAGCCACCTAGCTGCCCCTATTATCAGCGTAATTTTAAATTGATCTGTTTTAATAACTAATACAGTAAGTATCAAGATATAGCCCACAAACAAAAGTTCTTTGGGGTCCTCAATACTTTTTGTGAATGTAAAAGGGTCCTGAAGGGGCAGCTAGGTGGCGCAGTGGACAGAGCTCTGGCCTTGGAGTCAAGGGGACCTGAGCTCAAAGCTGGCCTCAGACACTTGACACTTACTAGCTGTGTGACCCTGGGCAAGTCACTTCACCTCGATTGCCTTACCAAAAAGCAAAAAACAAAAGCAAAAACAAACAAGCAAAAAAGGGTCCTGAAAACAAAATACTTTAGAACCATGGGTTTCAAGTTTAAAATTTCAACAGCTGATGATCCAGAAGCTAAGGAAGGCCACGAGACTTGCCCACGATGGCCTGACTCTGGAGTCAGGACACAAACCACCCAGTCTTCTGACACCCAACTATTCCTCTACCACATCATCTCAACAGCTGCTCTTCATTCACTTTGGCCTCTCTAGGAGACTGGGTGGCTTTGGGGTTTTTTGCCCCTCCAAAAAACTAAAAGGATCAGTAACTTCTGAGGGTCTTTATTCATTCGCAAATGTGAATTATCATAAGACATTAAGTCCTTCCAAGAGCCCAGGGCATCATAGAAAAACTTAATTCTATTCATTTTAATTTAAATGTTTATTTCATATTGCCTCCTAATTCTCTGAAAATTAATAATTCATATTTCATGTATATGCGCACACACAGAGCCTTATTTATGAAGTAAATCTCTTTTAACTGGAAGGAATGAGGCCATCCTATCTCTATCTCTGAAAGACTATACCAGTCGAAGACTTCTACAAACAGGTGACCTTTCTGGAGAATACAATTTCACTGCCATTCTGTCACATCATGCCAGCCACTGAAGGACAGCCACTCATTATGTTGAGTCATACCTAAATAATATATTTTTGCCTTGTGAATCCAGCTTGTCTATATACAGCTGCAGCACTTTTAAACCTTTTTTCCTCTAAAAAAAAAAGCAAATAACATGGTTAGATTAGAGAAAAGAATGCAACATTACTTAAATTTAGTCTCTGTAACTGAATGTTATTAATCATGGAATGCTTACATACCAAAGTCTCAATGGGGCAGAAGGTCATTACTTTCACCAGCTTCTGCAAATAAAAATTTAAAAACATCAAATGATCAATGGCCAGCACTCAGCACTAAACATTATGAAAGAAATGAAGATGAGAGAATCACAAGTTAAGGTAGTTGTTTCTCACAGGCCCACTCCATTGGACAGAGTGGAAAAAGCTGATAACAATTAGTAATATTTCCTATGATACAAACCAAGGGAGAAAAATGCATAAAAGCAGGAATTACAGAGAAAATGTGAGCACTGATATGTTATGTCCAGGGTGGTCAGAGAACTCAGATTACAGAAATGAACAAAAATAATGATGCAGATTTTAAAAGAAAATCACCTGGCTGGTACTTCTTAGGCTTTGGCTCCTCTCTATAAAATGGGGATTGAGAGAGAGGCAGCCTGCCATGGTGGAGAGAGCACTGGACCTGAAGTCAAAAGAACCTGGGATCAAATCCCACCTCTAACACTTAGGAGCTATGTGACCATAAGCTAGCAGCTTAACCTCCTCATCTGTAACATTGAGGTAGTGGTCACCTCACAGGGTTGTTGTCACCATACAATGGATCAAGTAGGAAAAGTCCTTTGAAGACTTTAAAATCCTTTGTAAATGTTTTTATTATTCATCATTATTGTTATTATTGAATCTGGTTACATATGGAGTTAGAATTTATACCAGCATCCCCCCCAAAAGTCCTCAAGCATTTAAAAATTGCAATGAAAGAGTGAAACTCCAACTTTAAAATACGTGTGAGTACATGTGTGTGTGCCTGAAACAAGTCCGGTTCATTCAGCCAACCACATAGCCCAGACTCAAAGCCCTTCACAAGGCAAATAGATACTATTGAGGTATCAATCAGACATAATGGATTGCTATCCACTTTCATGGCAGATAACTTTTGACAGCCAGTTATGTGATGGAATATGGATATAGGTAGAATAGAAAAACAGATATGATATATATACATGAACATATTTTCTATCTATTATATCCTGACTGTATGACCCTGGGCAGGTCACTGAATGTCTGAGTGCTCTAGGGAGCAGTCCATGCAGCGTGGGCTGCATCCCAAGCATGAGTCAGAACCAGATTAAAATGTAATTGGGAAATGTTTAACAAATTAGTAAAACTATAACCCAACATCAATAATGTTAATTTGTGGTTTTCTAAGTCAATGTGCAGCTGATGGGGATCCTTTCTACTGCAGTTTGATAGCACTGCTCTAGGCAACAGTCCACACTACAAGCAGCAGAGCTGACCTCCGTGAAGGGAGTTTCTCACCTAGAATTCACTACAGTAATGAAATACCAGCCCTATCCCTCTACATCTTCTATCTCTATGTGAAATTTTACTTGGCATTCACCTCAAGAATATAAATGTAACAGTAACTTCTACTGTGATGCTTTACTGTTAACAAAGCACTTTGGAGATAAACAGAAACTCTTACTTGAGTTCAGAACTTCTGCTCCCCAAGCACAAGCTGGGGAAGGTGGGTCTGAGAGCTGTCAGTCTGAAACTAGTCACAAGGTTTTCTTGGACCCAGCATCCAAACAAGCTACTGCAGTCCCAGGCTGCATTAGGGGAGCTTCTGTCCTTGTTCTCTGCCCAAGAACATGGAATTCTGTTCTGGGCGTGACTGTTTTAGGATGGATATTGACATGTTGGAAACCATCCCAAGGGCAGTAGCTGGGCCAGGGAAGGGCCTTGAGTCCATTCCACGACTGAATGAACTAGAAAGGCATGGCTGCTGTATCCAAGTATCTGAAGGGCAGTGAGGTGCTTGTTCTACTCGGCCCCAGAAGGACAGACCCGGGACTGAGGGGTACAAGCTGCAAAGATGCAGATTTCAGTCTGATGTAAAGAATCAAATCCTAACAATCTGAGCTGACCTAAAGTGGGATGGGCTGAGGTCCTCAGATAGCAAAGGGCGAATGATCTCGTGTCAGGTGAAGTTTGACTAGATGGCTGCTCGGGTCCCCTTCAACTCTGAAATTCTGAGACGCTTCATTTAAGCATCTCGACAGCCTCATGTGACACAAACATCACTATCTCCATTTGGCAGATGAGGATGAGTATCTGGCAGAGGTAAAATTTAAACCTAGTCTTTCTTCTCCATCTAAGGCTCTTCCCATCGCTTTACAGGCCTATGTGGATAAAGCGACTGATTTCCCCAAGTCACTCAGAGGAAAGATGAAATCTTAGCAGTCTGCATTTCTGATTTTCTACTTCAACCATGAACCAGCTCTCACTAATAAAACATTATACAAGTGTGCTAAAAGTCGCTTGTGAATGCAGTCACTCGTACAAGTCAATTATTAAGCATAGTTAGGAATTTCATATAAGGGAGTTTTAAAAACTAATATTCTGTTAGCCATTTTTTCATTTAAATGTTGATAAGTAAGTTTAATATTCACTTCAAAAGGAGTTAGAAGGGTAATATTGTCAGGTGTGATGTGATTCAAATTAAATTCCTGGAGTAAAATAATATATTTTTCCTTCTAGTAGTTAGCCTATGCAAGACCCAGATGGAATCAGTGGTAGGAACTGGATATGAAGTATAATGGGAAAGGAGGGGGACAAAGCATTTTTATAGCACCTACTATGTGCCAGGCACTGTGCTACATACTTTACAATTATTATCTCATTTAATCCTCACAACAACCCAGGGAGGTAGGTGCTATCATTGTCATCTCCATTTTACAGTTGAGGAAACTAAGACAGACAGAGGTTAAAGTGACTTGCCCAGGGTCACACAGCTGGTCAGTGTCTGAGGCTGGATTTGAATTCAGGTCTTCCTGACTTCACACCCAGCACTCTACGTATTGAAGTACAAGAAGGGAAGGCATACAAGAGTTCTGTTCTCTAAGATTTGGAGTAGTAAAATGGTAGCCATGGGATGTAGGCAGTTAAGGAGAAGGCCCATCAGATGCCCCCCTGGGCAAGGCAGCTGGGGAAACTGCAAAAATATTTGGAGGTTACAAAGACAGAAAAGTTCTGTGACTTCTCCCTGAAGCTGCGGATGGAGCCGATGGAGGGAGAGGCCTCCACCTGCCAGTGCTTCCCACCTTCAAGGTTTACCTGAGGCACGGTGAGGAAACTCCTGATCTCTAAGTAATGGTGGAGCAGGCTGCCATCTTCCATCCGTAACAAGCTGCTCTCCAGCAGATCCTGCAGAGGAAGTCATTGCACAAAACAGTCAGATAGAAAGGCAGCAGCTGTATAAGGGCACATATTGAAATTATTAAAAGGGAAGAAAGAAATATTACCAATCCTTTTGAGGACACAGATTCTTCTGCTCTGAAAGAGGATATTAAAGGTTTAACCAACGTGATTTTAGAAGTGGGAAAATCCAAGATGGCAACATTAAACCTTCTGGGGAAAATTATCAGGCAAAATTCTTTGGGAGAATTCTCTGGCGATTAAAGTTTATGGTCCGTCTTCTGCCCTGAGTCCTTACACATCAATCTGGACTTCAGGTCAGCTCAATTAAGTCTCATTGTCTAGCACGAAATGAGCTCATTCTCAAGCTGCAGGCAGCCCAAGCCTGCTGCCGTTAAGAGGTCAGGCACATACGAGACCACATGGAGCAGATAATCACATTTTAAAACAAAATATGCACCAATCAATCACATTATTGTTTGGAAGGGTTGGAAGTCATTCTTACCTGAGCATTTAAGATTTTACTGCTACCAGGTACAAAAAAAGTGTGACAGTAACACCAAGTCTAGTGGTCTCAGACATGTATACCAGGGATTCAGAAATAAGACAAGGGCTCTGGATCCCTTTATTTTTATAAGCAAAAGATAAAGGGATTTATAAACATGTAACAAAAAATAAGTAAATATAACACAAAATAAATGTGACATACCCAAATAGAGCAAATTGGAAGAATGAATAACTATTTACTTCTGAGATGTCATCCAAGGGACCTACCTTTTCAAGAGGACTTTGATATGTTCCATATTGTACTGCAGAAGATATAATGGGCTAAAATAAAAAGTATTTACAAACATTTTTAGAGATTACACATATAAGTTTTAATATCCACTTTACCAGCACTGTGACCACCAATAAATTTTAAACAGATGATAGCTAGTATCATTTATTACCACTAATAAAAGCTCTTCACAAAATCCTAATTCAATGCCTCATTATGGCACAGAGGTGACCTGGGTTCTCAGAGGCAAAGCTAGCTGGGGGTAAGCTCTGGCAGGGTCTACCATGCTGGAAAGGCTTTGAGTGGTTCCAGAAACAGACAAAGTCTGTTTCCTGAGGACCCGCCTAGCTAAGTAAAGAGAGGCACATGATACATTACCACCTAATAATGAGTATTTTAGGTCATGAAAATCCATAAAACACAGAAAAATTAAAAATGGGCTCCAACCTCTGCAACCCCTTTTTGTTTCTGAAGTGACATTGGCAAAGGGCTAAGAAAGAAGGACAGAAGGTACTAAGAATCGCAATTTTTGAACTATCAATAAACTTTAATTTGACTATTGGTACACTAGCATGTGATTCTTGTCCAGTGACCAAGAAGTCACTGAAAAGAAGTCACTGAAAATTTCTGAAAGAGCTGAATCATATCAATCTTGATAAAAGGAATTAGGTACAGCTAAACAGAATTATTATTCATGGTACCCCATGAAGAGGCAAAGAAAGGAATGGCAGAATGGGTCTTATTATATGTTCAAAGACAACAAGATACATCACATCATGGGATATTGGCTCATCACACATTGTAGTATTAACAATAAGTACTTGTAAAAAGAGAGCTATGAAAATAACTGCAGCTTATTAAGGAACATCAGTTGCTGAGGATGAAGCAAATTAAAATTAAAACCATGTGCACTCTGACACTTGACGTCACTGCAAAGGTGAAAGAAGGTGAAGATGGGAGAACTATGTAGGAAGGGCATGATTCAGGAAGAAGAAATGGGAGCGGCCACATCAGACTTGCAGATGACACAGAAGGGTCACATCTCTCGTGCATCTTTCTGCAACAAAAGAATCAGTAGGGCAGGTGCTGGACATGGTGAACCCCCAATAACATCACAAAGAATAGAATAGGTTTTAAAGGAACAGAAAGGAAAAGACCTATTAATGCTGTATGTTTCTGCACGGGGACAGAATCACAGCACTGGAAATAGGAAAAGGCTTCAGTGGACATCTATTCCAACCCACAGCTGAAATGAATCCTGCCTGTGCCATCTGTGACAGGGTCATCCAGCTTCCGCTTAAATCCTTTCAAAAGGAAGAACTATACCCCCCTCCCCGCTCCAGCCCTTTCTTGACACAGCCCATTCCACTTCCGGATGGCTTGAGTTTCAAGCAAGTTTTTCCGGCAACTGAGCCCACGCTGGCCTTTTGCAGCTTCCATTCATAGCTCTTGGTTCCATCCTCTGGGCCAAATAGAACCCATCTAACTGCCCCTCCTCCCCCCCGTGGGATGGCCCTTCAGATACCTGAAGACCCCCATTACGTGACTCTTGTCTCCAAGCTTGTCACATCTAGTTCCGTCATCCTGTCCTCCTATGTCACAGGTTCTAGGCCCTTCATCATCCTGGTTTCTCTGCTCTGGATCCTTCCCAGATTATTACTCTCCTCCTTAACTGTGGAACCCAGACTAAACACAATGCTCCAGACAAGATCTCACAAGGGCAGATGCTCATGGGGTTCTCACTCATTTCTCAAAGCTAGTCCCCTCTTCATGCTTTCTGGCTGCTACAGTCCACCACAGCCTTATTATCAACTTGTCAAAGCTAAGATCAGAATTAGTAAAAAAAAAAAAAAAAAAAAAAAAAAAAAAAAAAAAAAGGAGAAAAGATGTGATGTGAAATGGAAACTACTTAACCCCAAACTATTTAAATAATTGAAACTGAAAGTAAGTCATTGAAAACAAGTACTTGAAAATGTTTAAAATGACAAATAACAGAAAAGACACAGACACGGATTATAAAAATTGCATTACAGAAGTTTAACCAATGCAAATCAATTGTCACAAAACTAAGGAAGCAACTTGGTCAGCAAACATCTGACTTACTTGCAAAAGAGATAAAAACCAGACCACCTGAGGCAACAGTGGGTTAGACCACAGACCAAGTAGGATAATGGACAATTATGGGCAATATTGTCTCAAAACTGGAGAAAAGGAAGTGAGGATAAAGTTTAAAGACAGCTGGGCAAGACATCCAATTAAGCCAATTCATGAAAAGGATGTGAACGGGAGGGCTCCAAGCAGAAGAAAAATAGATTTGCAATTATCATAACAAACTGTTTTTTCCATCAAGAATTGTAGAACCTAATACCAAGAGATGTGCTTAGAGAGAAGACAAAAGGCACTGAAGAAAAAAATGGCTGGAAAACCAGCCATGTTGGGGCAAGCGCAGAGAAGAGAACCATCTGGAGGTAATACAACTCTGAAGGTGAAGGGGGAACAGCGTTTAAAAGAAGGAAAAATATCAGAGCATGTAAAAGATTTCATTAACGTTCCCTCCCCCCCCAAAAAAAGAATGTCAGAGACCACTGACCAATACACCTATTCTCTCATCTGCACAAAATCTTCAGAGTGAGGATGGTGAGGTCCGAGAGGTCCTTCTGTTTGTAGATGACGTTGTGCTAACTGCATTGAGCGCCAGAACACTAAAAGAGTTTGGTCTGACCATTCACACAGGAAAGACCAGTAACGAAACGTACACTGCCCAGAGTTCAACATGCATTAGAATGGACATGAGTAGCTACAGTGGAAACAGACAGTGTATATGGACAATGACCTGGGCAGAAGGCAGAGTGTGGGCTGGATCACCTTTGAGTTAAGGCAAAGTTCCTTTACTTACCCTAAGCTCCCCATGAAGGTCCATCCTTTCAATACTAACGTTCTCCCAATGTTGATATACGGCAGCAAGATATAGAAGACAACTGACTCCAAAGAATTTAAGATCAGTATTGCACAGAGAGCAATGGGGTGGTGCAGGGTAGGTGTGAGCTGGCTGCATCGCACAACCAATGAGAAAATCTTAAGACTAGGAGTAAAAGAAATCAACCAAGGAATCCTACGAAGGAAGAGAAGATGGGCTGGTCAAATGGCAAGAAGGAGGGCATGACAGGTAAGTGCTGACTGGTATCCTCGCAGGATCAGGAGAAAGGCCTCCAGCATATGAGGTACGCCCCCTGGGTAACCTCATGGAATAACCTGCATGAACTGCCCAGAATTGGTGGGTATCCACATCATTGTTAGAGGGGACTCCCAAACTGATGAGGTCATAGATGCATTTGAGTAATAAAAGTATCATTTGCTTAAGCTTTATTTTCAACTTTTTATTACTTGGATAAACCCCACATACTAGGTATAGAAAAAAAAGATGGGCTCAGGGCACACTGTAGCGTCAGCAACTGTCCCGATGGAAAAGTCTTACCAAAAATCCTTACCTCAAGACCAGTGGAAACTGGTCAATACTGATACGCTGTACAAAAACGAGATAAGCGAGCGAAGCCATGGACTCTGCCAGTTGGCTAGCTTCCTCTTCTTCCAAGTCAGGGTTATCCCAGTACTTTTCTTTTCTTCCATGCTGAAAAATCACCTTTGGCAAAGAGTCTCCAATTGCTAATATAAAGCCCTGTGGGGGAAAGAGCGAGGGAGAACAAGGCAGTAATTTAGTATAAAGGCAGTGCCAAAATTCTATTACATATGGATATTCATACATCCAATGGTTTCTAAATCACTTAACTTGTTAAAAACTAAAATTAACTTGTTATAAGAGTCAGGCATGTGAATAGGTACCTGACTGTAGGCCACCAAAGAAGTAAAGTGAAGTCACTTTAAAGGCTATTAAAAAAAACATTTTTCAAACAAAATTAAACATCTTTGAAAGTTAAGAGTAATCTAGAAAAACACCAGAGACTGAAAAAAACAATGTCCCTCTTTCACATCTCTTGAACCTGCCCCCTTCTCTCCACTTACACGGCCACCAGTCACCTAGAATATTTTAGCAGCCTCCTAATATGTCTTCTTGCTTCCATTCACTGTCTCTCCCCTATTCATCCTTCAGATTCCTATAGATTCCATCCTATAGCTTCCAAAATAATCTAAGTGTGACATAGGCCTGACTACATTACTTCCCTACCTACCCCCTCCAAACCTTCCAAAGCTCCCTAATACCTCTAGGACACAATATTCATTGACCTGACATTTAACTTCCTCTGCAATCTGTCTCCAGCCTACCTTTGACCTTAGAGGAAGGGAAAGGAATAAGCATTTACACAATACCTACTACGTGCCAGGCACTATGCTAAAAACCTTACAAATATTATCTCACTTGATTCTCGCAACAACCCTACAATGTAGGTGCTGTCATCATTCTCATTTTACAGCTAAGGAAACTGAGAAAAACAGAATTTGTGAAGTGACTTGCCCAGGGTAACACTAACTTACACAGCTTAGGAAGTATCAGAGGCTGAATTTGAACTCAGGTCTTCCTGACTCCAGGCCCAGCACTATTCACTGTGCCTACCCAGCCTAATCTAACTCATACATATCAAACAATCATTCAGCCTTTTCATGAATATTACTAGCTAGAGATAAACCATTACTTTTTTTTAATTCAATTTTATTTCATTATCAGGTCCACATTCTCTCTCTCTCACCTTCCCTCCCTCACCCCTCAGTGAGAAATCAAGAAAAACAAACCCTGTTACAATAATGTAAAGTCAATTAAAACAAATTTCCTCAGTCGCCATGTCTAAAACAAAAAAGTCTCAATCTGTACTGAGTCCATCAGCTTTCTGTCTGGAAGTGGGCAGCATGTTTCATCACGAGCACTCTGGAATTGTGGTGGGTCATTGTGTTGATCACAGTTCCTAAGTCTTTCAAAGTTGTCAATCTCTATTATAATGTTGTTATTGTATAAACTGTTCTCCAGGTTCTGCTCAATTCACTCTGCATCAGTTCATACAAGTCTTCCCAGGTATTTCTGAAACCATATCCTTCATCATTTTTTATACCACAGTAGTATTCCATCACTTTCATAGGCCACGACTTGTTCAGCCATTCCCTAATTGATGAGTACTCCCTCAGTTTCCAATTCTTTGACACCATGAAAAAAGCTGCTAACAATATTTTTGCACATGAATCCTTTTCCTCCTTCACTGATCTCTTTAGGGCACAAACCTGGTAGTGATATCACTGCATCAAAGTTTAATAGCTTTTTGGGCGTAGTTACAAACCGCTTTACAGAAAGGTTGGAAAAGTTCACAGTTCCACCAGTATTACATTAATGTACCTGTTTTCCTACAGTCCCTCCAGCTTTGTCATTTTCTTTTTTTTGTCAATTTTGCTGATCTGATGGGTGTGAGGTGGAACCTCAAAGATGCTTTTATATGTGTTTTCCTAATCACTGGGTTATTTGGAACATTGTTGTATGGCTATTGATAGCTTGGATCTCTTCCTTAGAAGATGGATTATTTCTAGTCTTCGACCATTTATTTATTTATCAGTTGGGAAATGGCTCTTACTCTTAAAAACTTGAATCCATTTCCTCTACAAACCCACTACCTCCTAAGGCAGCCTCCTCCACCTCTGCATTGCTCCAACTGTGAGGGTAGTTTCCTTCATACTTTACCAAGCCTAAATCCATGCCTCTCCACCTTTCACCCACTGCTTCCAGTTCTGGCCTCCGGGGTCCAGCAGAATGAGGGCATGCCGGGGTAAGGGGCTGTGCTGGGCTGGAGCTGCTGTCGCCTGAGCTGGGGCACAGATAACATCTGTTCCAAGGGTGGCTGTCCCAGTCCCTGCTTGGGGGCTCCTTCTAGAGACCTCCATTCTCCCCCCGCCTCACTCCCACCTCTCATTCTCATTGGGGAAACAATTACCCGAGCTTCTACTGCCTTGGGTGTCTTCCCTGAAGGTGGCAGCTCTCGATCATCACCGAGAGCCCGGGCAGGGGGAGGCCACGCCTCTAGTGCCTGCTCCTCCCTGGGCTCTCTACCAACGGGCCCAGGCGGGGGTGGGACTTTTACCCTGGTTCCAATCAGGGACCGAGTTTAGAGGCTCCATCCGCATATTTTAGAACTTACTATTTTATGTGGTGATACGCCTGCCAGGACTCATCAAACTGAGAAAAACATCTCAGCTCTCTATAATCATTAAATGCCCAGACAGCAGGCCTCTTGCCGCCAGCAGCACACCCAGATAATAGTATCCACCAGTCAGTGAGTGAGTCAACAAGCACCATTAAGTGCTTACTAGGTGCCAGGCACTGTGCGAGGCACTGGGGATACAAAGTAAAGTGTTTTCTAGTATATGGTATTAAGTTCCCCTGCTTTCTTAGAATGAAGCAAAGGAACTGGAAGTGAATTTGAGCCAGGTTTCAGTGAGCATAAGAAGATTGAAAGAGTGAGAAATTAAAAGGTTAAAGATAAAAGGAAGTATTTTTTTTTTAATGGAGCAGCATAAAAAAGAAAAAATTAAGCAGGCATCCTAAAGGACAAGTGGAGGCAGGCAGATATGGACTGGGACAGGGGGAGGGCGGACAGAAGTCCAGAGTTGATGAGGATGGGAGTGAGAGAATGCATGTCTGAATCTGAGGAAGCTCGTTCTTGGACAGCTGGGGATTCGGTACCACAAACATGGAGCCAATATCCAGGCAGAGGGAGAGGTCGACAGCGCCAAATAGGCAGCAAAGTCAGGAAGGAAGAAGACTGAGGTAAGACAATTAAACTTGGCAGCTGAACGGTCACATGGTTTCAGTTGAGTTATGAGGTCATACAACAGACTGCAAAGGAGGGAGAGAAGTGGAGGATGGAAGAGATAAAGGACATCATCCTGAAGTGGCAGTAGGGCCTGGTGAGAGTTGTTTTAAAGAACGGGGAAGACTTGGGCACACTTGTCCCCAAGGATGTCGTTCACTGAGCCAAGGGCTTGCATTAAACAAGGTCAGCTAAATTCTCTCTTGCTAGCTTCGAACCTCTGTGGGGCAGCAGCTCCTGGCATGTCCTTCTGATTCTGTTATTTCCAGTGCAAAGGAGTTTTCATTCCTTAGCAGAGAAAACAGAAGCCCGTCAGAACGGAGCCTCTGCCTTCTCTGTCCTCAGTTACCACCGTAACTGACTATCCCCCCCAAGCAGCACTCCTGGCCCTTCTGGGGGCCTCCTCTTTCCCCCAACACAGCTCAAAAACACACAACTCAAAACCTTTTTTATTTTCCTTAGCTTTTCTAGCCAGATAAGCACATTCTGAGCTTTAATGCTGCTGTAGTTAAATGCTTCTTATTCTGAATTTAACTAATCCCCAAAAGGGAACATTTTCACAACGTTGTACAGAAAAAAAAAGGGTTCCATCTGCAAATGAGTTTGCTATGTACAGTTTGTTTTCAAGTACACAAGAAACGCAACACGTTACTTTCAAAGCTGTCCTGCTTGCTTGTTTTCCTTTCTGAATGTCTTTTTCTTCTCTTCTGGGTATTTTAAAAAACATGCTTCAATGACCCCTTTTTCTTTCTTATCTTTACCGAGGTGTCACAGGGGCTAGAGAGCTGGATTTAGAGTCAGGAAGACCTGAGTTCAAATCCAATTGCAGAAATTGGGTAGCTGTGTGATCCTGGGCAAGGATTACACCACTCCCAGTCTCAGTTTCCTTATCTGTAAAACGGGGATAATAACCCCTACCTCCCAGGGATGTTGTAAGAATCCAATGAGATAACTTTCATCAAACACTTCACAAACCTTAAAGTGGTCAAGAAATGCTAGGTCTTCTCTGGGGGGTTTTTGGGCAGCTCGAGCACTAGCTCTTCTCTCCTCCTCAAATCCTTGCCCCCCCCAAAAAAGGGGAAACAAAGGCAATCCCTGTGACAGACGAGCACCTCATCAAGCCAGCAAACACACCCACTGTCCACATCCAAAACCGTGGGCCCCGCTCTGCACCGTGCGCCACTCCTTCACCAGGAGCAGGCAGCTCGCTTCCTCCTCAATCCTCGCCATTGCGCTGTTCAGGGTTCTTTAGTCCTTTTAATACTGCGGTCTCTCAGTTCTGTCATTCATTCTGCATCCATCTGTCCGAGTCCTCCCAGGCTTCTCTGAAACTCGCCCACGCTGACACTCTCGTGGGCTCGTGCTGTGCTCTCCTCTTCATCCCGTCGCCTGCCCTTGCTTTGAGCTTCTTTTTCTATCTTTTACCAATCCAAGTTGGTTGAATTCCTCTTGCACTAGCATAAGTCTCTTTAAAGAATTTCTTTTCTTTTTCCTTACTGGAACTATTTCTCTTTGGGCCTTTTCATTCTTGAGTTCTCATCCCTCCTGGGCTGACTTTCCCTGGAGAATTCTAGTCCATGAGAGCCCATCATTCCTCTAAAACATCTGAACCTTGCTTTCCTCAAACCTAGAGTCATGTCTCACTCTTCTTTCAGATTTCTTCTCCTGTATCGTGAGCTCTAGGAAGGAGTGATCACTTCCCCCCTCCCCCAAGTTACCATCATATCTACCCTAGAAATGATGTCCTCTATTAAAGAGAATCTAATCCACAACAGAATTTCTCCTTCTTGGTCCCCATCTTTTGAAAGACAAAGTCATCATCAAGGGAAAGCAAGAAATTATTAGCTGCTCTGCTTTTGGCAAAGGAAGAGAGTCAGCTCCAGCAGCTATTGGAGAAATGACTCTCCCATCACCATTACATCATGCATCTGTTCCAGGCTCATGGTCTGTTTATCCTAACGTCCTCATCTCTTACACCTTCTAATCAGGCAGTCTGTAGAATCCCCCAGCAACAAAATCACTTGTTTCTCTAGCCATTCATCTTCAAGTCTCCACCAATGTTTTCCTTATTTGGTTCCTGAATTTCCTCCTCTGAGTGTACATTCTGAATATATGGTGCTGCTCTATGCACAATCCCCTTTTTTAACCTACTCTATTTCTTTTGAACAAGGAACACCCACCCAGAGCCATATCCCAGTCATGGGTTTCATCCCAAGTCTCAGGGACATTTATGGAGTGATGTTAGGAGAAGCTAGGTGGCACCATAGTGCATAGAGTACTGGGCTTGGAATCATGGAGACTCATCTTCCTGAGTTCAAATCCGGCCTCAGACACCCTGGGCAAGTCGCTTCACCTTGTTAGCCTCAGTTCCTCATCTATGAAATGAGCTGGAGGAGGAAATGGCAAACCACTCCAGTATCTTGGTCAAGAAAATCCCAAATGGGGTCATGAGAATCAAATACAACTGAACAACAACTGGAATAAAATGTTAGGATCTCTAACATATAGGAAGCACAAATTCTTGCTTGTTGCCTAAACTTTGGGAACAGACCTTTCAGGCCAGTGGTTTTTCTCCTGGGTCCTTTCTTGAATTTGACCTCCTGTAAACCTTTGGGTGACTCAACAGCTGTTCTTTTTCCTTCATTGGAACTATTCTCTAGGGTATCTAGCTAAGTGGATTATACAAAGGCATTTCCTTCCTCCTCCATTCTTTTTAGTTTAAAGCCCTTTTACTAGATTTGTGAGACAGCTGGCAAATACATTCGTATCCACCTGTGATGGGTGTATTCCATCCTTGGCCTGCTATTCTTGAATTTTAACCCAGGGGTCAGAAGTCTACATCAAGCCACCTGTCCATTTCCTAAATCCATTTTTCTCTTCTGTATGCCTTGTGACTTCTTTCTTGGGTAATGAAGTTTATGACAAGATGTGACAGTGAGAGCATTTTTTTTTTCATTAATAGATGAATTACTATACTTTAGGATCTTTCTATCTAGTGATATGAAACCAATACAAGGATCACCATATTTGGAAAACACAAGCTCCCATAAGCAAAGAAAACAGAATAATGAAAAGTTAACTGAGCCTCAAAACCCAACCATTTCACATGATAACACCTGACCAGATTTTGGCAAAGCCTGTTCACCTAACCCAGATGTCTTTATTCATTTCTTTAGATCACATAAATAGATGATGGAAAAATATTTCAATCACAAGGTACTGATTATCAGAATTAGTTACTGAATGCATATTCATAACTTAGATTTTGTGTAAATGAAACACTGATTTTCAAAACCATGCCTTCCTGCTGTGATTAAAACATTTTAACCAGAAACAAAGCAACCAGGCCGGCAGTATGGACTTTTGAACTGTCCTTGAATTCTGCAATTTTACTCCTTGATACTCAAAGTAAATGCTTTTTCCCCATAAGGCAAGAATGTATTTGTTTTGTAAAAGGCAAGTAAGTTTCCTTGTACTTACTACTACTTCAGACGCGAAAGATTTTAAAGGGTCTTCTTCATTTTCTTCAAGCACCTCAATGAACTGTGCTGTCAGCAAAGGATATTTCAAACTTTTGAAACAACTAAGGAAAAAGAAAAGGAGGGGAGGGGGCAACTTGAACATAAAACTTCCCAAGTAGCAATCTCTGCTTATTCTATAGATGTATCTAAACTAACATTGCATATTTCAAAAATCTAGTAACCCACATGACTGTTATATGATTATGTTTTTATCAGAAGGAGTGGCGACAGTCTTTTGTTGAATTCAACTTGGGTGTGTTCTCTGTGCTCATTTATATTATTTTCTGAAATTTTCAAATTGATGTCTTTTGTTTTTCCAAATATATCTTCCCACCCACCAAGTGTGCCTTCAACAATAAAAATTAAAAAAGGAAAAAACCCTCCAAAACCAGGAAAAATTCTCACACTCTCAGATCAAGCACGTCCAGGGTGGGGAACCCATGGCCTTGAGACGACATGTGGCCCTCTAGGTCCTCAAGTGTGGCCCTTTGACTGAACCCAAACTTCACAGAACAAATCCCCTTAATAAAAAGATTTGATCTACAAAACTTGGACTCAGTCAAAAGGCCGCACCTGAGGACCTATAAGGCCACATGTTCCCCACCTCTGGTCTAGGGTATATTTCACATTCATGGGTCCCCACTGGGATGGTTCCTTTGTAAGCCTGATCTATGCCATAACTAAGAGATCTCTGGATCATCCCTTGGGTGAGCACCCTGGGACGCTTCCTCACTGTCTTATTTTCAGATTTGATGACTGCAGGCCTGGTACTGCCTTCAAAGAGGATGAGCTTTCGGCACTATAGCCAGCCTCAGAGCTCCCCTCCATAGAGGGGACAAATGGGCACGTGGTGGTAATGGGGGGCAGCGTGGTGTCATGGAAAGAGCCAAATCACCTGAGTTTGAGTCCTGACTCTGAGAGCTACTAGCTGTGTGACCCTGGGCAATTCTCTTAACCTCTCTGTGCCTCAGCGCCCCGTCTATAAAAGGAACTGCACCAACAGCACCGAAGTGGTATTGTCATCATAAAAAAGGACTTTGTAAATGTTAAATCATCATACAGGAATTCAACACTATTGTTAACAACAAACATGGTTGATCTGAGCTGGCAGTTTTGAATTTATCATAGCTGTATTATGTACGTAGTTGGTACAACACGACCGAGCCCAACGCCTTTCCAAACCCCCAGACGCATTGTGGCTTCGATGCTTAGCTATGCACACACCTGTCTCTGTGTACAGTCTACAGACACGCACACCCCACAGAAGCGTCCAGCCACCAGAAGGGCTCCTGGCAGACACAGTGCCCCTCCGCCCCCCCCCCCCCCCCCCCCCCCCCCCCCCCCCCCCCGTACACAGAATCGACTCACAATTTGAGCAGTTCTGCCTTCAGCTCTTCCTGACTGTTTTCCAAGGAGTGACCTTTGTTCTTAACAACTTCTTCCACAAAAGGCCTAGTAAAGGTGACCAAGGCCTTGCAGCACTGCCCGAGACCATGCTCATCTTTTTGTATCTGTTCTTTTGTGTAAGGAACGGGGAGAACAGAGAGCTGGCTCCACAGGGTTGACAGAGTTAATCCGACTGAATAGGCCTTCTTGCTGTGAAGTTTCTGAATCACTTTAAAACAGAGATGAAGCCATTATTCAGAGGAAACCTCACCCACGTGTAGCACAAGAAGCCGGTAATGGCTGAGGGCCAGCTTTACCATGACCATAACTGGTTAACCGATTACTTGGTTTTAGGATTCACAGAGTAATCACTTATAACAAATAAGTTAAAAATTATAAAAACTTGTGAAACTTGGTCATTTTCTCGGTACATTATCTTCCCCTCGGTGCTCTGAAGATCATGTGTTAAGAGTTGTTGGGTATTTCATTCACTTAAAACACACTCTAATTTTTCATTCCTTACAAAGTCCATAATTTTAAGAAAATGTAGCTAGAAAATCATGTAATGGCTTTCCATCTTTGGAATAAGATTCATTCACTGGACAGTGGGCTTTTGCCAGATACTCTTCACCTCTGAGCTCTATCACTTCTGACACTTCACAGCCCTGGTATGTCTCCACTTCTGCTCCTTGGGGATGGTCCTGGCCATTTCTGCCTCTAAGCCCTCAATGCAGAAGCGACAGAAATAGATCTCACATCTTTGCCCTCAGCAACAGGATCTAGTACAGGATTGCTGGGACAAGAGTTCTGAGTATTAGGAAATTCCATCCACCACTAGGACGACTAGGACAGCGACACATTGCAGGTAATATGAAATTTGTGTAGATGGAAGATTCCTGATGCAAGACATGTGTGTATAGGTTACAGACAGGGAGTTACAGTCACTATGGAAAGCTCTAAGTTGCAGAAAATAAAACACAATAAAAAGGTGAATCACCTGTGTAAATGCATCAAGCTCCTAGCACCTACAAGGTACATATTCAATTCAACAAGCATTGACTTTTTACCATGTGCCTGGTGCTAAGATGATAAAGACAAAAGAGGAAATAGTCTCTGCCCTCAAGAAGCTTACCTTCTACTAAGAAGGACACATGTACACAGATACACAAATGTTAAACATGCACAAAATAAATAGGAAGTCACTAACAAGAGGAAGAATCAGGAAGTGCCTTCCACAGGAGGTGGTGCCTAAGTGAGCTGTGAAGGGATACTTTATCTGAGCAGCAGTAAAGAGGCACCATCGCTTCAAGACGTCTTCATCATCACAGAGACCAGGTTTGACACCTGCTCTAGAAATACTGATTTGGCCACTGTGTGAGAAGGGATTGGAGAGCAGAGAAGCTGGAGGCAGGAAGACCAGCTAGGAGGCTCTTGCCCTGCTCCAGGTAAGAGGGAGAGGCCATGAGGCTCAGAATAAGAGTGGTGGCTATGTGAGCAGGGAGAGAGCAGGGAGCGGGAGATGGGTAGAACAGACGCTGTAGAGGGAGAATTGACAAGATTTAGCACCTGATTAGATGTGAAGGCAAGAGTAATGAGCTGCTAAGGCCTCCTAGGGGGTGAACTTTGGTGACTAAAAGGGCCAGAGGTACCCTGGACAGAAATATGGAAGGTAGGAGAAACAATGGATTCTTGGGGAAAAAGTGTTTTTTGTTTTAGACAACTTGAAAAATGACCTCAGCCCTCAGTGAGTTCAGAATAGAGTAAGGGGACAAAGAAGACACATCCACAGCCATAATACAAGCTAGAATTTGATAAGTGCGTAGAAATCCAATTGGAACATGAGAGATTTGGGCAGGAGGAGATAACTGGGGATCGTTTATGGCAAGGGATCTGGGAAGACTTCATGGATGAGGGAGCACTTCCACCAGGTCTTGAAGGAAGAGGAATTCAACAGTAGGTGGGGACAATATGGAAGCTGCCCTTCACCAATGCATGAAACCAAGAGTGGGTGAGACAGAGTGAAGGAACAGCTAATACTCTAGTCTTGCTAGAACCAGACTGAAAGAGGGCCTTGAATGCCAGGCTAAAGAGTTTTCATTTTATCCTATAAGCAATGGGGGAAGAGGAGAGGGAACACACGATAACTTTCTGAGCCGAGGACTGGCAGGATCAGGCCTTTCACTAAGTAGTGGAACGATTACATGTAGCTTTTCCCACACACTTTGTAACGACTTCATGTCATTTTCTATTCAGCCCAAACTGAAACCTAATCGCCCTTAATTCAACAAGTCTAAGACTAATGCAAATAAGGTACTTGATGCTTCTCACCGTAGCTAAGTTCTGTTTAATGAAATTATCAGGTAAGGCTGCTTTTTGTTTTGCTTTTGGCTTAAGTTAATTCAGTTTAATTACAAAACTAAAACAATCACTGGTACGTTGATATCACAATGCTCATTACCTGTCTGTAGCGGGTCAAGTAAGAGAAGAAGGATTTCAGATATCTGATTTCCAGAGGCCTCCTCAATCAGTTCAAGCAAACCCAAAAGCAGCTCCTTTGGATGACAGAGCTACAAAGACATTAACCATGAAGTGCCTTGGTTACAAAAGCAGACTTGAAACCACATGGATACCGTTTGCAAATGATGACTAGCATTTATATAGTACTTGAAGGCTTACAGAGCATTTTACATGTATCTCATTTGATTCTCAAAACAAGCCAGTAAGGTAAGTGTTATTATTATCTCCATTTTACAAATGAGGAAACTGAGGCTGAGAGAGGTTAAATGACTTGCCCAGGGCCACACCAATAGTAAGTGTCTGAGGCAGGATTTGAACTCAGATCTTCCTGACTCTAAGTCTAGAACTCTACCCCCTGGGCTACCTATACAACTGTCTTTGCTTTGCAGCAACAGAATTCTCTATGTACACTGTTGTTAAAATACCAACATATATAAATATATATTTAGGGAAAACTCTGTTTTTATGCAGGGTTATGCAGCATGTAGGGTTCTCAAATCATCACAACATAAACAAAAGAAAAAATACCCATCTACACAAAGGGTCTCTTAATTGCACACACAGACCTCCTAAGACAAAGAGAAAAGGCAAGAAGGAGAGCAGCTGATTTCCAGAAAGGAGCCCTCTCTTAAATTTTCCCCCATCCACAGACTTCCTGAAAATGTCAGTGCTCCCAGCACCCGGGCCCTTCCACTGTCAGAGACCAGAGCTTATAGACATTGACTTCTGTCCCTTTTGGGATTTTTTTTTTGCCAGCAACAATTCTCTTTTCTTTTCTGATTGGCCCCGTCTTGTGACTTCACTGACCTTGTCTCAGAAGGGGACTTTTACATTCAATGAGCTACCCTTCCTCCAGGCACATAATTGGTTTCATGGCCTCCTCCCCTCTTGCCCCCCCCTTCCCCAGGTCTTTTCCTAGTTTTTCCTGCCAGCCCTTGATAGCATTACATTAACAGGCTTATATAGAGAGCCGGCCTTACTACTATCTCTGAGAGCTCTCAGCCTTTCCAAAAGGGCACTGAAGCCCTCCTCTCCTCCCCGAGCTGCCAGCTACGTCCTGATCTGTGCTTTGCTCCCTACTTTTCCTTATCAGATAATCTCAGAGATCACCGAGTTTCAGTCCTTCCTACACCAGGAATCCCCCCTCCAATGTCCAAAGTATTGGTCTACTTCTCCTGAAGACCTCCAATGATGAAAAACTCACCGCTCCATTCTAGCGTGAGATGGCCCATTCCAATTTTGGAAAGTTTTCCTTATGCTGAACATCTGCCTCCCCAAAACTTCCATCCAGGTCTAGACCTTGAACCAAGCAGAACAAGTGAGACTTCCTCTTCCCTAAGACCACCATAAAATATACGAACGCCCCAAGAGGCATTGTGGGATAGCATATACAAGGACGATCTGGAAGTCACAAAGACAGTTTGAAGTCTTGGCTGACTCCTCCCAGTTCCCAGACAATCCCCTGAGATTGTGAGGTGCAGAATTAGAGATCTGCGTTAGAAGAGGGGCTTCCACACATGGAGTTACTATATAATAAAATATAATAAAATCACAGGTCTGGACCAAAAAACAAAAACAAAGCAATCTCCTGAATGTATTTTTTCATCTCCAGATTAAATTCTGCTATTTCCTTCAACCAACATTATTAACATGGCAAAATCCTTTCTCCTCACCCTGGTCACCTTTTGGGTGAGTTCTAGCTTCCCCTCCAATTTTTAACCTTGCTATGACTAGACAGTGGTTACAGTGGGAAAAGTACCAGGAGAAGTCCTGGGTGTGGTACTAACTAGTTTTGTGATTTTGGGCAAGACTCATCACCACTTTGGGCCTCAGTTTTCTCATCTACAAAACAATAGGATGCCCCTCCCAATTCTATGATTCTCCCACCAGGTTCAGTGAGGGGGCCTTTGCTCAAAAAACCAAACCAAGTAAAAAGCAACCAAACTCATTCGGTCTACAAATCTTTTGATATGAAAGATTTCCTACCAAATAACAAGAACTAAGGGGTTGAAAACTTTTGCGAATTACAGAAAAACAAGGATTCACTAACTTACCTTTACCAACAAACCAAGCATTTTCAAACATTTTTCTCTTTTATCAACTTCCTCTTTATGACATAAAAAGCATCTAACAACCGGGCCAACAAGATTCCAACCCATACTCCTGATGATAACCTGGAAAAACATTTTCAGAGGTAGTAAAGCAAAAATCTGTTAACTACACAAGTCTCCTGATATGCTTTTCAAATATGGCTATTCTTAACACTCCTCAAATTATTACGAATAAGAAAAAGTTCTATGTACACACTGCTTCATCACTGACTTTCAAAATAATTATGGGACCCTTTCTGGGCCTCAAGTTTTCCTTATAAAAATAGGGTTAAACCTCTTTGCTGTGAAAATAAAAGAGAGATTATGTTAGCTGCTGTGGAGGGCCAAGTGCATAAAGTATTCAAAGATGGCAAGTGCTTAAACTCATGAAGAATATTTTTCCCCAAAAAATACATCGATCACCACTTAAAAGAGATCCTATGAGGAAAACTCATAGGAACATTATAGTCAAATTCAAAACCCCCAGTTCAAGGATGAAATATTAAAAGCAACAAGAAAAAAACAATTTAAATGTGATGGTGCCACAAATAGAATCACACAAGACCTAGCAGCGGAGACGTTAAAGAATCAAAGGTCTTGGAACACTATATGTCAAAGAGCAAAAGAACTGGGGTTCAGGCCAAAAATATCATACCCAGCAAAGTTAAGCATAATCCTGAATGAAAAAAAAAAAAAAGGACATCTGATCAGTTGTCAGACTTTCAAGATTTTGTTTAAAAAAACCCTAAACTTAATGGAAGATTTGACATACAAGAGCCAAGAGAAACATATAGGGCATACCAAAGACTGACTACGAGGGATTCAATAAGGACAGACCAATAACTTTTTATACATATATGTAAAATGCAAAAGGTATGTCTAAGAGTCTTATTAATAATTGGGTAGCTCATAAGAAAGATCAGAGCAGACCTGAGTATGCTATGACTTTAAAAAGTAAAACCATTTAGGAACAGCTAAGAAGACTAATAATTTTATACAAATGAGGAGCAAGAAGAATAATCGATACAGGGGAATTAGATGGGGGAGGAAGGTTGTGGGAATGGGTTCAAGAGGGAACAATACATATATATTTAGAAGAGTATAAAAGTTTTCTAAATTTAGAAGAAATAAAATGATGAGGGGATAAGGAGAGGGGAGAGGACAAGGGAGGGCTCTTTAGAGGGGAGGGTGAAGGAATAGGTTATAGGGGGCTATAGAAGGGTGTTTAGATTTATGGGAATGGGAGGACAGGGGAAGGATCCTGGGAGGGGGGTAGGCTAAGTAATAGAAGGGCAAGGTAGCAGGTAGAAGTAAAGTAGAGGAGTCAGGAGGGATAGGAAACAAGAGATATGCACAATATAATTGGTCGTATTTCAATATAAATGGATAAATATATTCAGTATAAATATATTTCAATATAAATGGTTTCCTTTGTAATCCAATGAATTTTATTGAATATGTATATGTATATCTGAAAAGGGTTTAACTAAATAGAAAAGGCCTCTCCAAACTGCCACAGGGATCCATGACACTATTATAATTGTCTCCTAATTGGTTTTTCTGCCTCCGTTTCATCCTTCCCTTTTGCTGCCCTAGTAATCTTCCTAACGTACTTTTCTGATGTCAATAAACCACTCAAAAACCTTTGGTGCCTCTCTACTGCCAACTAGAGGGATGAACTCCTAGTATTGGCATTTTCTGAGATTGTCCCTAGCCTACCTTTCCAGGCACATCAAAGTCCCCTTTACATAGTCACACTCTCAGGCCAAATTAGACCAATTCTTGTCTCCTCATTTTCATCCTGCCCTCCTCTACTGTACTTTGTTCATAATATCCCTCCATGCCTGGACTAGAATCTTCCCCTCCCACCACCCAATCCCTGTTGAAGCCTTTCCCTTCCTCCAAGGCCCAAATCAAGTACCATCTCCTCCAAGAAACATCTGAAATCCTCTACCCAGGGTGAAAGTGATGTCTCCCTCCTCAAATTTCTCACAGCTCTTCACCTGGCCCTCTCCTTTGCATCTGATTTATTCTCCCTTGTTTCAGTTATAGTTGTGCCTTATACTTTTTAAATCTTTTCATAAACAGTCTATTTTCTTTATCCTACAAGTGACTTTCTTTAAAATGAATAAGAGTATAATATTAATTTATTGTTTAGATGGCTCTGTGAAGACAGAAAATTGGAGCTAGGACATAATTTGTATAATAAAAATTATACAAATATAGCCTAGGCTTTAAATTAAATAAAAGTCTCTATCTAAATACCACTAATTTTGTTCAAGAACATAAGCATGAACCCTTGATCTTAGTTTTATTTTATTTTTTATGAAGCATACACCACAAATTGTTTTAAAATCATTACTAAAAGAGTTCTACATGGCAAACAGAAAATAAGAATTCACCTGAACCCCATTTTAAATATTGCTTTACCAAGATGTGAATTTGTGCATCACCTTGGAATGTTAGGCTTAAGCTATTAAGCTAAGTATGCCAATGGTATTAGCTATTTAGATGTACACTAAGAATAGAATACTCAGGCAATGCTCAGTTAGTAGTTTGGGCAGGGTTACCCAAGGTATCTGCTGTTCTCTAATAAAATATAAAAAGTTACACATGACAGTTGAACTTACCTTGTTCTTCTCATTTTCTAAAATGTCTAATACCTGAGCAATGTATCCTTCTTCTAAACACTTTTGGCCTGCTAACTGAAAGAGACCAAAATCTTCTTCTTTGAAGTCCTCCTCTTCTAGGATTTGCTTTAGAAACAACAGCAAAACCAGGCAAGTTAGCATTTATTTACACGTGTATATAATAAATTAAATCATTACTTGATTTTTTTTTTAGTCTTAATCTTCACATTGGTACAAATACACAGGCAGAACTAATAACTTTCCTAAATAGTATCCAAATAAACTATCTTAGAATCCAATGTACTAAAATTCAGAAATATTTAGGAAGCTGGAGAAGCAACATATGTGTGTTTTTATCTCCACTGCCCCACTCCCACCCCTGGGTATAGTGGGGGGAAAAAAAGCAACACTGCTCTAAGAGAAAACCTGAATGTCTTGCACTGCATACAAAGCGTTGTGTTGCACATACGAATGACAATGTGAATTCTTTTGTTCAAAGAAAATTACTTACACATCTGTTTATTATGGATTGAAGTTCTTCCACAGCCATTCCTGAGTTTTCAACTTTTCTTTCAGTTTTACTGTAGAGACCCACTAAAAATAAAATAATTGTTCATATTTATATAGCCTGCTTTAAGGTTTACAAAGGACTTCATATACATTATTTATTTGATTGCACAACAACTTGTGAGGTAGGTAGTACATTTATTATTATTTCCACTTTACAGGTCAGGAAACTGAGGTTATTGAAGGTTAAGTGATTTGACCACTGTCACATAGTTGAGGTAAGATGTGAACCCAGGAGATCTGACTCCAAATCAAGCATGACTCTATGCTCTACATCAGTGGTATCAAATTCAAATAGAAATGGATCCCTCCTGGCCACATTAGAAAACCACAAATTAACATTATTTATATTATATTGTATTTTTCTTCATTTTGTTAAACATTTCCCAATTACATTTTACTCTGGTTCAGCCTCACTCTAGAGTTTTGCAAGAAAGAGCCTCTGGCCCTGAGTCTGACACCTTAGCACTACATATACCACACTGCCTCCAGAAACACTGCAATTAACAGATGCAGATATTTTATTTTTACATTAAGGAGTAGTATATATAATCACACTTCTGCATTAAGTATTATTATGAAGAATCTAATAAATAATTTTAATAGTTTAATAAAAATCATCGCTGAACTTTAGCAGTCTCTCTATGGAAATATTAAAGATGATATTAAAGATTAAAGATACAGGGGTTGATATTTTAAAAAATGAACCTCTCCTGTATCCTCTAAGTTTTCTGGTTCCACATTTACATACTTATATGAATATTTTTTTCTGAGATGTCTCCACTTTCCAGAGGAAAGGGTAAGCATTTTGCAATGACTCACTCCAAACACTGAGAATTCCAGGTCTAATTCAGCACTCTGGTTCTCTGTCAGCGACCCCATACCAGGGTCTCCACACAGAACTTAAGAAGTGCTCGGGTCAAGAACAGAAAAAGTTTAAGAAACCCTGCTCTATACTTTATCATTCTTCTGTTCTTCTGTACTTCTAGAATTCCATTGGAGATTGCAGTATTCTAATGTCATAGGTATCAAAGCATCCTCACTTACAGGGTCATAGGCTTAGATGTGGAAGAGGCGCTAGAAATCACCTATGGCAACCTCATCATCCATCAGCACCAGGGTAACTCTGGAATTCTAAAACTACACCACTCAATCCAACAAGCATTCATTACGGAATTAAGGATGCTTAGACAATAAAACAAATAAACAAACAAAAAAGCAACTAGTGCCGGCCTTCAAAGAGCTTGTCCCTGTATTCTCTGCCCCATCACCCCATCCTTTGGCCTCAGGATCACCTATGCTGACTGCCAACTCCCTCCGTTTACAAAGCAGGAAACTGAGACCCGGAGAGCTTTAAGTAACTTCATCCCTTGCTGGGAAGGAGGAAAGTCGAAAAGGAAGGTTTTTAAAAGAAGATTCTCCTATTTGTGTGAAGTCAGTCATTCAATCAAGGATCACTGGGAACAGACGGAGACAAAAAGCAAGCTAACGAAGCTTCCTCCGCTGGGTGGGAGCCCGGACCCTGCTTGGCCTCGGGGCATCGTGACATTGATCCACACCTGAAACCGACACCCGGGAACCAAGTGCCTACTATGTACCGGGCCGGCGTTGGGGGAGGGGTCCGAAGAAAGAGCTGAACAGTCCTCGCCCTCCGGGGGCTTGCACCCCAAACCTCGAGCCGGGGGAGTGGGGGCCCTCGGAGACCGTCGTGGGCGACCCCTCTGATTTTACAGGTGGGAAAACTGAGGGGCAGAGCTTGAAATGACCTGCCCGGAGTCTCCCGCCCTCCCCGCCCTCTCCGATGGGGGCCCGGTGGCTTCAAGCCGCGTGCCTCGGATCCGGCCCCGTCCACCCCCTGGGCGCCCTCGGCTGGGCCGCGGCTTGCGCTGAGTCTGGGGACTCCCCAGCACAGGCCGCGGGCCCGGGGCTAAAGCCCTGCCCGGCGCTGTCCAGCGACCAAACCGCCGCAGCTGCGCCCTACCTGCCCGACACTCTCCAGCCAGCCTGGGCCTCCTCTCCGCCTCCGCCTGCCCTGGCTCCGCCTCGACCCCGCCCCCGGCCCCGCCCCACCCGGCGCGCGCGCGAGGAGGAAGCGGAGCAGCCAATGGCGGAAGCGCTGAGGCCCCGCCCGGATCCCGCCCCCATATCTGCAGAGCAACTCAGGCTGTGGAGAAGAGGAGGAGGAGGAGGAGGAGGCGGTGATGGAGGACGTCATGGAGGAGGAGCTGAGGCCCTGCCTCTGACCACGCCCCCATCCTTCCCCGCGTCTCACATCCCATGGCGTGGGGAGGAGGTGGAGCCCTCGTGAGACAGTCAATGGTTGAGGAGCTGAGGTCCCGCCCTGACCCCGCCCCCTGACCTCCCAGGTCCCGACTCTAGCGGGGGAGAAGGAGGAGCCGGTGATGGCGTCATGGCCGACGAGCTGAGGCCCCGCCCCTGACGCACGTCCCAGGCGGCTCTGGGAGAAGGAGGAGGAGCCAGGGGCGGGGCGGGGACGGGGACGTTATGGCGGACGAGCCGAGGCCCCGCCCACACACATCCCAGGTGGCTCTGGGAGAAGGTGGAGGAACTGCTGAGGCCCTCATGGAGGACGAGCTGAGGCCCCGGGCTCGCGGCGGCCCCCGGAGCAGGAGCTCCCGAGCCGCTCGCAAAGGCGCAGGTAAGAGCTGGTGCCCAGGGACGCGTCACGTCACGCCGCCCGCGCCGCGGTAGAGGGTCCTGCCCCTCGTGGGGGGTGGGGCTAGTCAAGTTCCCGCGGGCCGCCCACCTGTCCCCCTTGGAGGATGGGAACTCCCCTTTAAGCATGGGCACCACTTTGGAAAGAGGAACCCCGTTGGAGGATGGGGATCCCCATTAGAGAGAGAGGCACCCCCTTAGAAAATGGGGACCCCTCTTAGAGAGAGAGGAACCCCCTTAAAGTATGGGGAACCCCCTTAGAGGATAAGGGACCCTCCTAAAGAGAGGAACCCCCTAGAGTGGGGACCCCTCTTAGAGAGAAAGAGGAACCCCCTTAAAGTATGGGGGACCCCTCTTAGAGAGAGAGGAACCCCCTTAAAGTATGGGGAACCCCCTTAGAGGATAAGGGACCCTCCTTAGAGAGAGGAACCCCTTTAGAGAATGGGGACCCCCTTAGAGCATGGGCAACACCTTAGAGATTGGGGTTCCCCCTTGGAGAGTGGAAACTCCCCTTTAAGCATGGGCACCACCTTGGAGAGAGGAACTCTGTTAGAGGATGGAAACCCCTCCCTTAGAGGATAAGGGACCCTTCTTAGAGAGAGGAACCCCCTTAGAGCATGGGCACCCCCTTAGGGTTTGGGGTCCCCACTTGGAGGAGGGGGACCCCATTCTTAGAGAGAGTAACCTCTCTCTTAGAGGATGGAGACCCTTATTAGAGAGAGAACTCTGCTTTAAAGAATGGGGATCCTCCCACCGCCGTAGAGGACTGCGCAGGTTTGGAAAGACAGCCCAGCCCATCCTCCTGTAGAGAAAACTACCCCCCACCCCGTAAAGCACCAGGCAGTTTCCCAGAGAGGACACCCCCCACCCGTTAGAGAGAGGAAACCCTCCTCTCTCTTAGAGATCTGTACAGTTACCCAAAAGCAGTTCAGCCTCTTCCTGCCCTCGGAGAGGATAGAGAGTTTCCTCCAGCCCTTGGAGGATGCTAGAGGAATGGACATTTCCCAAGGTAATCCAGACCATTTCTCCCCTTAGAACATTCGCTCTCTAAGAGTGACATCCCCATTTTAGAGGATTCTTGTTATTTGCCAAAGAAAATCTAGCCTTTAGAAGATTGTCTATGCTAACATAGGCAGGTTCCCCCCGTCCCCTTTGAGAAGCTGTCTGAGGAATACCATGTCTGCTACTCTCCTGCCTTCCCTAGTCTGGGAGATTGTAGGATCATAGATCTAGTTCTGGAAGGGCCTCGGAGGCTCAGAGTCTGTTTATAGATGAGAAAACTGAGGCCCAAGTCAGCTCATGGACTTGCCCGAGGTCACAGTAGTAAGTTCTTTCCACCATCCAGGACCCTATAGAGAGGGGCCTTTGAGGCTAGGAGAATTGGGTGAGAATGGGGTCTGTGGGCCGTCCTGTATGGGAGTGCAAGAGTGATGTGGCCCTAAAGAGTTTTGTGCCCTTTCTCCCTCCTAGGACCTCTACTTCCACTTCTTCCTAACGGCATTGCTAAGTGGGGAGGTTTTGGGGGAGGATGAGAATACTGTTTGCTTCAAAAGTGATTTAATTTCCAAGCAACCTATTAGTTGTGTAAGGGTGGGGGGAGGGGGAAAGGGTGGGGGTGGTCTCTGTGTCCTGCCCAGGGAGTTGAACAGACACAGATCAGCTGTTGGCCCTGGATAGGGGCAGCTGGTGGCCTGGGGATAGAGCTCTTCACCTGGAGTCAGGATGACCTGAGTGACCCTGAAAGGGAACCAGGGAGGGGGAGGTAAGGGGCCTCCACTGACCCGTTCTTGTGAATAGGAAGGAAATGATGGGCAAGGGCCTTTGTTCATTTTTTTTTTTAAGATGGTTGAGGATTTGGATTAACCAACTGCCCTTGTGGCCTAGGCGAATTTGGCTAGATTGAGCTATTAGTTATACACACCTAGATGTGAATCACTTTAACCACAGTCATTTAACACTCGATTGTGATCTGTCCATTTGGGGAATTTGTCGTGGTACTGTTTTTAGTGAAAAAGAGAGTGGGATGGTGATAGAGAATCCTGGATAGCTTGTGGTAGGGGGCCAAACCAAGGGGGAGATGAGTAGGGCTTTGAATATCCCGTGGCAGCCTGAGGTCATTGAGAGATTATCTTTGAAGTTCCTGGTTCAGATTTGGGGAGGCAGAGGTAACTTTAGAGACTGCCCATTCCAATTTCTCCAGAAAGGTCAGAGTTAGAGAAGGCAGAGCTCATTGTGGGCTTGAACAACAACAGCAACAACAATAGCATTTATATAGCACTTTACAAATGTTAACAGCGATGGTGGGGTGAGTAGGTGTTCATAGGGTGCTTTCATTATTATCCGCATTTTACAGATAAGGAAAGTGAGGCAGACAGGGTTAAGTGACTTGCCCAGGGTCACACTGCAAGGCGGTATCTGAGTTCCGTTTTGAACTCAGTTCTTCCTAACTGCAGGCCAAGAAAGTCTTCATGGAAGAGATAGGACTTTTATTAGGCCTTAAAGGATAGTTGTGCCTTAGGTGGAAGGAAAGGCATATTCAGGCAGTGAAAACAGCATTGGAGAGTAAGAAAACATCTAACAGGAGTGAGGTGTTCCTGTGGAGCAGCAGAAGAATGAAGATAGATGTTTACAGAGTTGAAGGAGGTCTGAAAGGCCAGAATCTGTTCTCTCCTTTGCTTAAAGACCTCTAGTGTGGGAGGACACTCCTCCCAAGGCAGCCCATTCTTCTTCCGGATATCTCTGAGTGCTAGGACACTTTTCCTTATGTCGAGCCTAAATATTCCTTTCTGCACTTTTCTGTTGCAATGGGTTCTCTTACCCTGCCTCTCTAATGGCCAAGCAAAGCTAATCCCTCTTCCGAGTGAAACAGAAATCATTGACCCTCGAGTTCTGTTCTCTAGGCTGGATGTCCTTCCTTCTTCAGCTTATCTTCCTATGGCACCATCTTGACGCTTCCATTTCTGAAACTATAGTCCTTGTTTCCTCCTTCAGGTGCTTTTCACCTCTGTATCTGTAACACAGTGGCCTTGTACATGAGGAATCCTGTTGAGCCTTCAGGTCCCTAAATCCTTTATATATATATATATATACACACACACACACATATATATATGTACACACACACACACATATATATATACACATATATACTTATTTTTAGACAACTATCTAGCTACCCTATTTATTTATTTATTTATGTACTTATTTTTAGACAACTATCTAGCTACCCTACTGCAACTGGTGAAGTTTTTTTGTTTTTGTTTTTTTTTGTGAGGCAATTGGGGTTAATTGACTTGCCCAGAGTCACACAACTAGTGAGTGTTATGTGTGAGGTCACGTGTGAACTCAGGTCCTCCCGATTTTAGGGCAGATGTTATATCCACTGCACCACCTAGCTGCCCTTGAAGTTGGGTTTTTTGAATCCCAGTGTAGACTATACCTCTGTGATATCGTCCCCTCTAATAGTGTACATTCCAATCCATCCATGACAAGCTCTCTCATCCTTTTGGCCTTGTTTTCCTGTAAATACTCCTTGAGGTATCCACCTAAATTTAAATTCAGTCATGTTTATTAACTGTCCGTGGCTATGCATCGGTCACTGTTGGGGAGGAAGACAAAGACAAAATCAAAATGATCCCTCTTTTCCCCGTTCTTGTGTTCTACTGGAAGAATGATGGAGCCCTCCTTTTTCCACATCCCTGGACGTTATATGGCAAAACTCTTCAGGCCACAATCTTGAGACCTGAACTAGATTAAAATGTAATTGAGAAATGTTTAACAAGATAAAAAAACCATACAGCATAGATAATGTTAATTTGTGGTTTTCTAAGTCAATATTTGACAGGTGGGATCTGTTTCTCTTTTAGTTTGACACCACTGGTGTTTGGGAACCACTCGAACACCAAAGACTATGCTTAGATTATCCCTATTTCAGGGAAGTGGTTATTGTATTAAAAACTTTGCTTTTTCCCTCCCTTTACGCTAAAACCTTCCTGCCCATTTACCTAGGAATGATGTTACCCAGTGTTTTCCTTTTGGTAGATTTTTTTTTTTGGTTCTGTGTCTTAAATATGAAATTATGTGCCATGAAGGAGATATGGAAAAGAAGGAAAGAAGATAGTTGGACTTGCTTTATTTGGTCAGGGCTCTGCCTAAGGTGCTGTTGACATCCACTTGACCCTTATACAGTATCTTTTTATTCCCCCCACAGGTAGTAAAGAAACAAGTGCTTTGAAAAGTGAAGAGGCTTCTAGAAGGTATGGCAATTACTAACCGGCTTTTGTTTGTCTATTTTTCCTCTCACGGAACATTAGTTACTATTATGATGGATCACTATTATACTTGAATTGTGTGTTGTGACTGTGGTGAGAATTTCTTAAAGGAATAAGTTTGTGTTTGAGAGTTGCTGTTCTCTGTACCTGAAGGCTTAGTCTCTGAAAATCACACCCAGCTCTGCCACCTGCTTGAGTACCTGTTCAAACAATTTCAGTGCTCACTCTTTGTAAGATATGGGGGAGCCAAAGACAAAATGAAAAACCCTCCCTGATCTCCAGGAGTTTTTGTTCTACGTGGTGGGGGTGGGGGTGGAGACACACAACATGGCTATAGGTAAGTATCTACATCAGAATTTAAGGAGGGAGAGGGCACAGGAAAAATGGGACAAGAGGTGAAGAGAGATGGCATCACTGCATTCCAGGCGTGGAGACAGCTTGACAAAGACTTGGAGGCAGGAATTAGAACCCTAAGTTATAGGAGGGGGGATAGGCCAATTTGCCTGTAACGTAGTACATAATAAAGCAAGCAAATGGGAAACAAACCTCAAAATGTAATCTAGAACCCAGGGGGTTCAAGAAGAAATAGAGCTGAGAAAAGACCATGAAATGTAGCAGTTTAAGAGATTGTTGAGAGCAGTTTCAGTTGAATGATGATATTGGAAGCCATGTTGCCGCGAGTTGAAGTGTGTGGGAAGAGAGGAGTGAGAGGCAGTGAAAGTACCTAGCTTTTAGGAGGAAGGATTGAAGGTGACTGAAGGCCAATAAGCCCAAGGGAAGGGGCTTCCTGTCCTCCACAGTCCAACCCAACTGTCCATCTTGCTGGCCCCATGCCCCGATCTGTCTCTCGTCTCAGTGCCTGGAAGGCATTGCCCCCTCCTTACTTCCAATTTCTGGAAGTCTTCTTTCCTTTAGAGCTCAGCCCAGGCACCACCTTGTCAGCGTGCCTTTCCTGAACCCTCCCACTGCCTAATGCTCCCCCCCCCAACCCTCACCCCCAAATTGCATCAACTTTTTGAAACTTCACCTAAATGAATGTTTGTTTTGCAGACAAGAAAGATCTTCTCTTTCTAGTGTTTTCCTAAGGTCTGGCTCCCTCTGAGCTGAAAAGCCTTCATATTCCGAGACATTGAGGGGAGGATAAGAGAGATTCAGCCCTTTGATCTCAAAAAGCTCTCGAGCTCTTACTGCTTTCCTTTTTGTGGTGTGTGCTGCAACTGCTTTTAAGTTCTCCCAGGCTTTATACACAGGCCATTAATTGAATGGTCCCATATATTTATATTTGCTTTTTTTACTGGAAGATGTGGATTTTATGGCAAAATGGGAAGGTCTGTTGCTGACCTAATTAGTGAGAAAACAATTGGTAAGAGTGACGATTATAAATATAACGGCCTTTTTATCTTTTTTAAACATTGTAGGAAAGCTGCACTGGAGGTAGCTATTAAAAAGAAAATCGAATATGAGAGGAAAGCCTTGCATATTGTTGAACAGCTTTTGGAAGAAGACATTACAGAAGAATCCCTTGTGGAATCTGTAGGTGTTTGCAAATTTTGAAGTTTGTGGTCCAAGACCTTTAAATATTTGTACTTAAAGTGTTGTGGCATGATAGTTGTCAGAGTGCCTGGGTGAACACTCGTAATCACGTAAATGCTGTCAGTAATTCTGCAGTGTGTGCAGGTGAAAAGCTCGGGGCTCAGTGTTCTTCTCACAGGGAAAGCATAGAACTTTCCCCCTAGTTCTTTCAGGTGGAAGACACTTTGTAAAATGAAAGCGGTGCATTTCTCACCTGCTTAGCAGGAACTAACTCCCTTAAGTATGCTTCTGCTGACTTGGGGTCAGTATATTTTAATATGCCCCCTCGTCTCCCTGATATTTTCTCATTCCCCAATTCATTCTCTGGCCCCATAAATGCCTCATATATATTTAATTCAACCCAGGGCCCTCAGTTGAGGTGTTTCCTTTTATTCCCCACCCCTTCTCCCAGCCTATTGTCTTAAAGAGAACTTGGCAGACACATGGGGAAGGATGTGGGGAAAAGTCATAGATTTCTGTGCAAAAAAAGAGTTTGTTTTCTGTATATTTTTGCAAGTTGTAAGAAAGCCCGTGAGTATATTCTCAGTCCAGTCCTGGTAAAGACTCCGTGGCTCCTTTTTTTTCCGCAGGGGAAGCAGATCACATCTGCACATTACAAGGATGTCGTGGAAGAACGCTTCATCATCCATCTCTGTGGTTACCCGTTATGTCACAACAAGCTGGGAAACGTAAGGCGTTGTTGATTATTAGATGCGCTGACTATGTTAAGGCTTTGCTTTTGTAACAAGGGAGTTTGAAGCAAGTGAAGTGGTTACTATAGCTTAGTCAGTGTTATTTTATTCTATTTTTAGGTACCAAAACAGAAGTATAGGATTTCTACCAAAACAAATAAAGTCTATGATATAACTGAAAGAAAGGTAAGCCTTAAGGACTATTTTCAACAGCCTTAAATACCTGCTTGTGGTGGTTTTAAAGATCATTTCATGTATAAGTATAAATTTAGAATTTTGAACATGGAACACCTTACCTTGTACTTGAGAAAGGAGGAAGCAGACAAAAGAAAATCCCATTATTTTAAAAATTATAATTTAAAAAATTCTAGATCACGTAACTTAAAATTTTTTTCCTAAATCATTGTAAATATCATTCTTTTTGGACTTATATTTCACATACATAAGTAAAGCAAGGAAATGCTTTTAAAAAAACATTTTTAAACTAACAGCTCCTTCCCCTCAATTTGAAAGTCACTTAAATTCCTGGACTATTGCAGTAGCCTGCTGTGGGCCTGCCTGCCTCAAGTCTCTCCCCGCTCCAGTCTGTCCTCCATTCAGCCACTAAAGTGATTTGCCTAAATCCTAGGTCCAGTTATGTCACCTCTCTACTCAATAACCTCCAGTGGCTTTCTCTTGCCTCCGGGATGAAATATAAAATCCTCTGTTTAGTGTTCAAAGCCCTTCATAACCTACCCTTCACCACCCCCTGCCCCCCTCTCACCCCAGTTTCAAAATCTCTGTATAGCTTACTCCCACCACATACTCTTTAATCCCGTGACACTGAACTCCTGGCTGTTCCACAAATAAAACACTCCATCTTCTGATTCCAAGATCATACTCACTGGCTCTCCCTGTGACTGGTAGGCTCTCCCTCCTCATCTTTGTCTACTGGCTTTCCTGGCTTTCTTTAAGTCCCACCTACTTTCTACAAGAAGTCTTCCCCAACCCCTCTTCACTCCGTTGCCTTCCTTCTATTAAAGATTCCCTATTGCTCCTGTACAGAGCCTGCTTTGTATAGATTGTTTGCTTGTTGTCCCCCTCATTAGAGTGTAAGCACATTGAGGGCATCCTTTTTGTATCTCCAGAGCTTAGCCAAGTGCCTGGCACATAGTAGGTGCTTAATAAATGTTTATTGGTTTTTTGATTGAAAGAAAAGTTAAGCAAATTTAAAATTAAAATGCAAAAAATGTTTTTTAATACTTTTCTTATCTTCAGTTTTTCTGCAGCAATTTTTGTTATCGAGCATCTAAGTACTTTGAAGCTCAGATTTCCAAAAGTCCGTTGTGGGTTCGAGAAGAGGAAAGGTAATTAAACCATAATTTAAAAGCATTTCTTCTGTTTTCTTTAGGGGAATATTGGAGAGCTGGCAAATACTTTATCTGAAAGCTTTTTAATATAAGAAACACAGGAAAACCATTTAATTTTTAATTGGTTAATTAGAATTAACCTCTAACCAAAATTAATTTTTATTAACCAGTTAGAAAGTTAAGTTTCTAGTTAACTAAAGACGTTATGATCAGGAAGTGAAATGTTAGCTTTTAACCATTACTGGGCTGAACATGCGTCTCTCACCCCTAAAGCTCTGTTTGGTCACTGCTGATATTTGTGCAGGCTCCTACTTGTACTTCACTGCTTTAGCTTTCCATTTGGTTTTAAACTGCCTCTCTAAGTGTGTTTCCTGGACCTGCTTGTTTAGGTTGAACGCTGCTCATGTGATGGGGCTTGTCACTGAATGGGGACGACCTGGCTTCTGATCATAAGACTTGTGTTCTCTGTTACAACCTTGCTATGGAATTTTGAGGGAAGCCACTTAGTTTTTCTTCAGCTTTGTCTCAAATGTCAGAAATTTCCATGTGGTCTTTCTGTTCTATAATTGAATAAGTTGTTGTCCTAAGTACTTACAATTTACTGAAGAAGTTGTTAACTATATTAGCCCAGGCCAATTCTGTCTATGGGCAAAGCAGTGGGAATAAATCCACAAGAGGAATGAAGCTGTCCTTGCCCCCAAGGAGCCTTGTTCTTCTTGGGGCTACAAGATGTACCCAGGAGGGGGAGAGAGCCCTAACCATGGGGGAACTGAGGGTGGTGGTAACTTCACAGAGGAGCCGAACCTCAAAGAGAGGTCACTGATGGGAGGGGGACCACGAAGCTGGCCTGGCCTACACACCACACACACACACACACACACACACACACACACACACACACGTGAGGACACGAAAGGGAGTGATAGTAAATGAGGCTGGTGAGAGGGAGGCGGAAGCCACGCTGTGGAAGGGCTTAAAGCTAGACCAAAGAATGTGTATGTTATCCTAGAGGCAGAGGGAGCCCCTTGAAGCCTTCAGAGCAGGGCAGTAAGATCACACCATTTTCATAGAATTTGTAGACATAAGTCCGGGTCGTTCTACCCATCCCTGACAGACAGGCAGATGCCCAGCCTATACGTGAAGACCCACAGCCTCCCAAGACGTCCCCCTTGAGGGCAGCTCTCATTGCTAGGGAGTCTTCCTTGGCAGAGGCCTAAAGCAGCCTCTGCAGTTTCCCCCATTGCCCTGGTTTGGCCCTCCACTGCCAGACAGAGCAAGGCTATTCCCTCTTCAACACAATCCCTCCAGAGAGTTATCTAGCCCCACCTGAGTTTTCTCTCCTCCAGGTTCAACCTGGAGTTTATTCAGTCCATCCTCATTACCCTTCTCTTGGCCCTTCACAGTGTCCTTTCTAAAGTGTGGCACCCAGCACAGAACCAGGCCACGCCCACCCACCCCCAGCAGAGAGGGCCTGCTCCCTCCTCCCTCTGGGTGGGGGGCTTGGCCTCTTTTCCTGCAGTCCAGCAGTTGAGGCTTCCTTCAGCTGCCATATCCCACCCTGGATTCGTGGGATCTTTCAAAGATCAACGACTAGTCTTCCTGTGACTTAGGAAGATTGTTTGGCAGCTGTTTGGAGGATGGATTAGAAAAGGAGAAAGATTGGGAGGAGGGGACAGATGAGCAAGCTTGGGCATGTGTTTGATGAAGGGTGGGATTAGGGCAGGCCAGCCTAGAGGTCGTGAGAGGGCAGAGAAGTGGCCAGATTGGGCTGCTGATTAGTGTGGGGATGGGGAGGGGCTAACACAGGTGAAAGACTCATCTCACCTGAGCTTTACAGCCTTCCTCTGAGGAAGGCAGTAGGTGAGCCTCACTTCACAGAAGCAGAAAATGAGCATCAGAGGAAGCCTGTTCATGTTCACACAGCTGGTGACTCCGGCTTTCCTGACATCACTCTCCACTCTCTCTACCAGGCTGCTTCTCCTCGTTGGTATGGCTGGGTGTCAGGGAGGAGAATGGCACCCTCAGTAAAAATAAGGATGTCTGCAGGAGAGGCAGATTGAAGGTGTAAGAAGTTGAGTTCTGCTGTGGTCATGTTGAGTTGGGGATGCTTACAGGGCATAGGGGTGGGGGGAGATGTCCAACAGGAAGTTAGCAGTGGGACTTGGGAATCATCTGCAGAGAGAGTGATGATCGAAATGGTGAGAACCAATGAGATCTCCAAATTAGAGAGCAGAAAGCAGACAGGAAATGGGGTGTGCTCTAGCACAGAAGGTTTGTGAGGGATGGGAGGCCCTCTGTGCTGAGAACTCCCAAATCTTTATCCAGTTTTTGGCTCCCTTCAGACCACCTTGCTTGGGTCACCAACTTCCTACTGGATGTTTCTAACTGGATGTCCTAAAGCCATCTTCAATTCAACATGTTCTGAATAAGACTCATCATATTTCCCCTGCAAGCCCAGCCCTATCTGATCTTCCCTTTTACTCATGAGGGAACCAACCATGCTTATCACTCAGGTGCACAGCGTCAGCCTCACCCGCAGCTCCTCCAATCAGGTGCCAGGTTATTTTGTTCCTAGCTCCACAACACTCCTGTCCCCTCCATTCCCTTTCCCCACTCAGACATCCTCATTCAGGTACAGAATCGGGAGTGTTTCAGCAAAACCTGAATTGGTCTCTGCCCTGGCCAGCTCACCAGGCACACCTTTCCCCTGGCTGCCCATTAACTTGGGTCACACCCACATAGAAGGGATGCATTTTCTCCTCACCAGTCCCATCTGGCTGACCTTGCAAGGTCACCTCAAGTGCTGTCTTTTACGCTTTTCCTGACTGTTCCAAGTGCTAGGGGCTTTCCCACCAAGTAATTACCTTGTTTTAAAAATATGCTTATGTGTCCCCTTGGATGAAATGTAACCTTGAGGATGAAGACTGTTTGATTTTTGTCTTTGAACCTGCCACAGTGCCTGGCACGTAGTAATGATGCAGTTTTGAGGCTAAGGAGAAATATGGTCTTGGAAGTGGGGTCCATTAGTGTTCAAGCACTCTGTCAGTAAGAGCTTAATGAATACTTCTTGGTCCATTTTCCAAGGCCACACAATTAGTAAGAGTGTAAATGGGATTTGAACCCAGATCATCTCTCTCCAAATCCAGGGATCTTTCTGCCGTGCCACACTAGTGGCCTGGGAGCAGTGAAGGATTTAGAACTATGAGAAGGAAAGGTGGGAAAGTGATGTTTGAGTGGGGGAAATGTCATGAGCAAGGGTGTGGAAGACAGTTTGGCGTGAACAGTCTATCCTCCTCCTTCGCTTGTAGGAATGTTCAGGTTCTCTCCGGACCCTCGAACAGTGCAGTAGGTATTTAATAGTGTTTTGTCAGGTTGAACTCTCCGACAGAGTCAGAAGACTTGCTCTCAGGCTGCCCACGGGGCAGACGTGTGCAGTTGCTATACACTGACTTAGTTTCGAAGTGCAGGGTGCTGGCAGTGAGTGCTGCCGGAGTCCAGGAAAGGAAAGATCATCGTCAGGGAGGTTTTCGTGAAGAAAGCTTAGGGATTGATCTTGAACGTGAAGAAGGGGAGAGATTGGCCTCACGTAGGTCAGGAGGGTGTCTGAGGTGGGGAGACTCAGGAACAAAGACAGAGTACTGTCAAGCATTCTCATGGTGTGGAGGGAGACCCTCCGTTCTTGTTGGGAGGATCTTTGTGCCAGACTTGTGTTCTCCTGGCCAAGCCTTTTAGTGTGACCTTTCAGCCCAGTGGGTCTGTGATCTTCTAATGGTTCATGTCTTTGCACACCGGCCTGGAGAACAGGGACCATGTCTGTAATAGCTCTGAAATCCACAAGAGGGCACTGGTTCTCCATATTTGTTTCTAAACCTTGTCACCTAATTCATTTCGCAGATTTCTTAAAAACCCTGGCAGTGTGCTAAATGTTGCACATTAAATGGAAGTGTTGCAGAAGGGAATGGAATTTTGAAGGGAGAAATCTTTATGATATGATACATTGTATAGAGAAAAACAGCAGGCAGTAAGCTTGTAGCCTGTAGGTCTCCCGAGCTTGACTGAACCTGTTTAAGAAGTTGAGAAACGTTTAACAAACAAACAAAAATACCATACAATATAGATAATGCTAATTTGTGGTTTTCCAACCCCTTTCTATTTGAGTTTGATACCACTAAGGTAAAGAGCTGACTAGCGTCTTTTAAGTAACAACTTCCAGAATTGGAGAGAATTTTTTAAAAAATCAGACCAGTATGGACATATTCTTCTTCCTCTTGTACTCAGGCCTTTCGTGTTGTTCCTGATCAATACTGTTTAAAAGTTTTTGTTGTTGATTGATGGTACCATAGTGTTATTTTTTTTGAACTATGTAAAGTAAAAAGTTAAACCCAAGTTAAGATGAAGCTTTAATTTAAAAAAACCACAGAGCTAATTAGATTTGCTACTGGGAATAAATAGTTTATGAAGGATGTACCCACTGTGAGAAAAAAACATTTTAGCAGTGAAGATTTTCTGGCTAAGGAAATAAGTTATTTACCAGAAACAATTAAAATGAAATTTTCTTTAAAAAAAAAAAAACAGAGTAAACTCATTTTTCTCGTGTGAGAGAAGACCAGCTCTCATTTCAGAATTAAGTGAAAGTCCACAGCTGAAAGCATTCGGGGCTTTCAGACCAGAAAGACTAAGACTAAAATTCTTTGCAGTAGAAATGACAGGATAAAAATGACTAACAGGGAGCTGGTGCCCGAGGTAAGAGGGGAGCACCTTTTGGGGGGGGTGGGAAGGAAACTTCTGTTACAAAAATTAATTTTCACTTGAGGAAAGCTACCAACAACGTTGCATTATGGTTTGGAAAATCAGGAGCTAAATTTCGGAAGGACAGCCAGGTGTTGGAAATGAGAGCATAATTAGAAAGATCAGCCACTGTGATGCAGTGGAAAGAGTGCTGCGTTTGTCTTTGGGAGACCTGAGTTCAAATCCTGCTTCACTTCCTTACCAGTGTG